GTCTGATGGGGGGTGGGGGTGAGATTCCACCCGTGGGCCATGTCTAACTGGGATTGGATTGGGTTGCTTGGTTGTTCGTGGTCAGTTTATGTATTGTGAAGCGTTCTTGTTCAGAGCGACAACCTACGATGAATGGATCGACTGGTGGATATCAAGGTATATTACTAGCCATTAACAAATTGATTACATTGACTGAACTGGGCAAACGTATGAATAGATGCCATTGAATAATTCCATGGACATGGGTAGAATATCAATATCATCACGAAATAAGACATGGAACAAACGATCCTCGAGGAAATGAAGACGAAGACTAGACGAGACGAGACGGGAATGGATTAAACAACAATGACGATTTGATATTCCGGGCCGAAGAAAATGATATCGAAACATGCAAACTGGCTGAACTGAGGAAACAAATTACATCTGCTGGGGCATATGTGGCGACATGTGCGGTGGCATCTGGGGGTGCATTTGCGGATGCAGCTGCGGTGCCATCTGCGCCAGCTGATGAGGCATGAGGTAGGCGCGCTTGCGCGGGTCGTTCGCGTCCAGGGGTGGGCCGCGCTTCTGGGGCGGGTTCAGCATCATGGGATCGGACGGCTGGTGTTGTTGGTGTGGATGCGGTTGCTGGTGACCATGCTGATGCTGGTTCGCGAGAGCATGCGCGTGCGCGGGCAGGTGCGGAGATGCCTGATGCTGAAGATGCTGAGGCTGAGGCTGAGGCTGGGGTGAAGGCTGGACATGGTGCTGAGGCTGGACGGGAATCTGAATCTGAACCGGAGCATGGGCCTGGACCTGAGGTTGAGCCGGGGCCTGCGACTGAGCCTGCGGCTGCGCTTGTGGTTGTGGCTGGGCCGGAGCCTGAACCTGTCCCTGTCCCTGTCCCTGTTCCTGGGCTTGTGCCTCTGCCTCGGCTTCGGCTCGCTTCCGTGCTTCCACGTCGGCCTTGCGAGGACGACCGCGTGGCCGCCCAGTGCCACCCGGCTTGGCGGTGGATGGCTTGCGCGGTGTTTTCGGTTTGGGAGTCGTCGTGCCTCCGGCTGTCTCTGACTTACGGGGACGTCCGCGGCCTCGTTTGACAGGAACGGCAGGGACAGTACCATCAGGGCCAGGAACCGGGGCGGGAACCGGAGCGGTAGCTGCGCCAGTGGCAGCATTGGGAACGGGGCCGGATGCGCCACCAGCGGCCGCAGGGGCGGGTGCACCTGCAGCGGACGAAGCGGATTTCTTAGGCTTAGGCTTCGGAGGCTGTGTTCCATCCGGCAAGGGATTCTTACGGGGACGGCCGCGCTTCCGGGGTGTAGGAGCAGGTTGCTGGGAAGCACCTGGAGCAGCTGGGCCCGCTGGACCCGCTGGACCCGCTGGAGCCTGCTGTTGGCCCTGCTGTTGACTTTGGGCGTGCGATTGACCTTGACTTTGGCCTTGACCCTGGTTCTGGCCTTGCATAGCTGCGGGATTCTGCACCTGAGCTTGTGGTTGGAACTGGGGCTGAGGCTGGACTTGGGGATAGGATTGAGCCTGCACCTGCGCCTGCGTTTGAGCGGGAGCATGAGTTTGGGCCGGAGCCTGTGGATGATGCTGATGCTGAGGCAGGAACTGAATCGGCGATGGAGCCTCTGGACGATAGGTGGGCTGTGGTGGTTGTGTCGTCCCGTTGGTCTTGCCTGCAGTGACCACAGGAGATGCAGAAGCGGCAGCGGCAGCAGCAGCGGCCTTGGGTTGTCGACGCTTCTTCGCCGGTTTCGTTTCCTCCTTTTTGGGTTCTTGAGCTGCGGGCTTTGCTACTCCGCTCAAAGTGGCCGGTGGGATTGATGGCGTCGCTTGCTTTTGCTGTGGCTGTTGATGCTGCGACTGCTGATGGAACTGATGCGCCTGCTGAGCTTGAGCTTGCTGCGTATGTTGCTGCGCCTGCTGAGCGTAAGCATTTGGCTGCTGAGACTGCCTCTGATGTTGCTGGGCTTGCTGCTGAGCCTGCTGCTGAGCCTGGCGATGCTGCTGCAATGCTTGCTGCACTGCTTGTTCGTGCGGTTGTTGAGACTGCTGCGTTTGTGGCGTTTCCTGGCGGTTGTGCTGCTGAGACTGCTGGGACTGCTGGGACTGCTGAGGTTGCTGAGGCTGCTGAGGCTGCTGCGTTGGCTGTGCCTGTACCTGTGCCTGCTGAGCCTGCTGGTGTTGCTGGTACCGCTGATACGGATAGTGTTGGAACTGATGCTGCGTCTGGTATTGGGGCTGCTGCGATTGCTGCGCCTGATACCGTGACTGCTGAGCTTGCTGTTGCTGTTGATAAGTCTGCTGAGCTTGCTGCTGCTGATATGTCTGCTGCGTCTGCTGGTATGGCGATGCCTGCGCCTGTTGCTGTTGAAACGGAGACGACTGGTGCTGTTGATACGGAGACGGTTGCGCCTGGGTCTGTTGATACTGGGTCTGCTGTGAGGATTGCGGATACTGTGGTTGCTGCTGCTGTTGCGCTTGTTGGTACTGGGGCTGAGTCTGCTGCGGTTGAGTAGTCGCAAGCATGGGCGACGCAGCAGCAGGCGAAGGTGCGGACGGATGCGTATGAGATGTCTGACGATGCTGCAGATGGGGATGCTGTTGCAACCTCTCGTAAGACTGCTGCGGAGACGAAATACTCATTGCTTGAGCATGTGGCGACATGGCGGCTTGAGGGTTCATGGCCGGGTGCGCACGAAAGTTCGCCATGGGATTCATGTTCCTCTGCAAACTCTGTATCTGCGAGAGATACGGGTCTTTCAATTGACCGACGGAGTCGGTATGTCTGGACAGAAGATCCGAAGTACCCTGAGGCGCATAATGGCCGTAGGTGCCATAGCCACCTCCTGCGGTAAACCCGACCATCGACGCAGACGACGAGGGAGTTATCTTCCTCAGATCTGGCGAATGACTTGACAGATCTGACTGCTGCTGGCCCCGGAGCAGGGAACTGTTGCCAGCAATGCCATTGCTGCCATGGCCTGAATGCGCAGCAGCCGCACCCAGCGAAGGCGATTGCAGTTGGTGCTGCTGCTGGGGATGGGCATTCTGCTGCGATTGACGCTGTTGATGATACTGATGACCCCCGTATCCCATCATCTTGATTGAATTTTCTTGTGGAATCTCTGTCGGGGAGTCCGCTGTATCGAGATGAGCCAAGGACGCTGTCTCTCAGCAGGACATGTGACCACCGCGTCTCGAACCAATAATAACAACGACGCGGGTGGTGATGATGATCACAGGGAACAACCACAGATAATTGATCAGACCTGGTCCACAGATGGAATCACGGCAAGTAGAGGTATGTCAAGAAGAACAATGGTTTTAGTAAAGATAAAAGTATGTGGTGGCTATGTTCTGCCAACTCTTGTCTGGTCTGATTATGGCTGTGACTGGTTGTTGCCTCAGGCCGTCACTACGGCAGGCGAGTTCTACCCGGTGGCGCAGCGAGTTGCGAGAAATAATAATACACGAGAAATGGGTGAGAGGACGAATAACCCGGCACAGCAAGAGAACAAGGGGGTATTGGGACTAGAAAGAAAGCAGAAAAATCACGGCAATGAGGAGCAGAAGGGAATTCTGATGAAATCAACGCTGAACAACGGCCAAGAGGATGAATGTTTGGGGATCGCGAGATGGACTGTCGGCGTTGTTCTTTTTTTTATTTTTTATTTTCCATTTTTTGGACTTTGGATTTTGGATTTTTGGGGGGGCCTCCGCGTCACGTGACTTCGCGTCTACTTGGCCTTCACAAATCAGATGAGTCACCCAGGATTATAGATGCCTCAGTGCAAGAGAGAGATCAATTGCTCTGGCTGGTATACGGAGTAAAGAGCTACAGTTTGCACGAAGGCAGTCTGTCATGTTAATGCTATCAGTCAGTCCGATGTTGCTGGCACTACGCTGTAGAGCTCGAGCACTACGGTCTACGGAGCTAAAATAATAAAAATAAAGAGGAGAGAAAAAATTAAATTCCATTCCATAAATAATAATAAATGTGGAAAATAGAATAGATAATAATAAATATCAACCAAAAAATATCAGGCCCATTATTTCCTCCACCTAGTACCAGTACTATGGAAAATAATATTTTATTTCTCATTATTATTATTGATCGAGATCTCTTCTTTATATTTATTTATTGGCATATTTTTCTATTAATCCATATGACTATTATATATAACCAGCAAAATAGTCCAAATATCAAGCAGCCTTCGCAACATCCTTCTCCTCCTCCTTCAGCTTCAAATCCGCCAAACATGGCGCAAAGAACAGCTTCCCTGACACCACGCCTCTCAACGTCCCAATACTCACCACCATCCATAATACCACCACACAAAGCGAAATAATCTGCTAAGATCAGCGGCCTGCACTCTTCAATAGGGAAATAGAAGACATACCGTCCCGAGCACTTTGAAAAACTCTGACGGCAGCTCTCGACCCATCTGACAGGTACTTGTGGCAAAGACCCCGAGCGGGAATGTGAACCCCCACCAGCCGATATTAAAAGGAAAGCTGCGACATCTAGCGATAGAAGCAGATGCGAAGAACAGCCAGACCAGTCCGAACGACCAGAGAATGAGGGCGACGAGGAACCCGAGCGTGTAGAAGGTCGGGCCGGACGAGGCTTCCAGGGTATGTGTCTGCGCGAAGATGGTTTGGGCGGATTTGCCGAGTTTCATTGCTCTGTCGATTACATTAGTTTTTTCAAGTGGCGAGGATGATGGAACCAAAACTCACCCGTAACCGCCCTGACCTAATGGTCCCAGGGGGAGGAAAACGCTGACGATGACGGCCTTGGGAGGGAGCTTGTGGAGGGTCAGGCGCTGGAGGTAGATCACCATGACCATCATGGCGAGGGGGACGCCAATGCCCCAGAGGATATAGCTGACGAGCACCGTCCATAAGGCGTGTTGAGGGTTGGGGAGGACGTCAGCGACGATGGCGCCTGAGGAGGCTGCAACGACGCAGCTTACGATCGGGAGGAGCCAGACGGCAGTCATGGAAGAGAGTTGCGTTTCGTTTCCATGGGCCATGCTGCGAGAATTTGAGTTCACACATTCTCAGAGGTTTGGAAGGGAGTAGACGTACAGCAAAAAGGGCAACGACAACGCCGTCACCACCGAAAATATCGCGTCGAAGATCCATAACCCCCAGGCAAAGTTTCTGGTCCATTCTCCCCACACCGGGACGCAGACGAAACAAAACATGTTGATAATCGTAGTCAAGCCCATGGGAAATGTCCCAATAAACATTGACTGCACGGGATGGACGATCATGGCTTTGAAGATCTTCGGGTACAGTGTGTATCGCAGGAAGCTGATGATACACCCTGTGATGAAAAGGAGGACATTGACAGCGAAGATGACGACGGAAATCCAGTATAGCCATTGAGCATTGTAGGGGAGCGTATTTAGAAGAATGGATACAATGCCTGTCCCCATCGTGACTGAGAACCATCTATTCATAGTTAGTGTCTTCTTCGTTTGGTTGATGGGAGCAAGGTGCGTACGAAGGGGTGAAGTTGCGGACGATCCTCCTCCAGCCCACATCATGTTTTGTGAGCTGGGCTTGTGTTTGAGAATTTGTATTAGTGCAGCTCATTATGCTGGTGAAATACTCCTGCTGATTTCTGAAGAAGTTGATGATGGACGTGTCGAAGTAAGGATGGTCGCCACCGCTGCGAGGAACCGAGACTCAATCCAGCGAAGAATGCTGTATATCGCGACGCCGAACTTCAAAGGCTTCCAAAGTTAATGCTTAACCCTGTTTATTGTTTACTGAGATCGGCTCTATATAGCCTGGTTTACACTTCATCGCTTCATCTTTTGCTGACTGAGTCATCTTCGGATAGTCGGTACGCTGAAAAGTCAATTCGGCCGAGACAAATCCTTTGTTACGTCAAGCCAGAGCAGCTGTTTTTATTAGACAATCAATTCAATCGATGCCGGGTTTTCTTAGTGATATAAAGACAGGGATAGCCAAAAGAGATAAGGGATATTGCGTGCATAGGTAGATTCCAGTTGGTCCGTCAATCAGCCATTATATAGTAGGCCTAATAGCGATGTCATCATTCATGAAGCAAACCAGAAGAATCATACAAATTAGAAGTAACCCTCCCCATCATCAAGGCCGATCTTCACTACTTCCTCTCTCCTCCAATGCTGGCCAAAGTATCCTTCGTGCTGTTATCCTTCGTGCTGTTGCCCGCACTGCTTGTCGTCTGTCCCAGTCCCTGCCCAGCACCAGACACTGTGTCTCCGAGACCTTGGGTGGCTCCGCCAACAGTGTCCCCGAGTCCCTTGGTCGCTCCACCAACAGTTTGTCCAAGGCCACCGACAGTGTTACCGACGGTGTTTGTGAGGCCGCCAACGGTGTTGCCTAGAGTATTTCCAAGACCACCGAGGAGGCCAGCTGTCAGTCTCAATCAGCCTGGATCTTGTGAAAGAGGTAGGAGAACATACGGTTCTGTTTCTGGTTTTCAGACATTTCGGTATGGAAGTAGTGAGGGAGTGTTTGAGTTCAGATGGAAATTGCTTTGGATTGTTTGTGGTAGTAGTACTCCTGTCAGCTAGACTCTATCAGCTTGATTTATATACCCAACTGAACGAAGCAACACTAACAGCACAAGCCCCATACGTCAGCTCTGACCCAGCAGCCGGTTGGATATCAGACAGCAGCCCCGGGGAATAACTGCCAATGACCGTGGTGCGCTGCTGGGGACTGACGCAACACCCATGGTTGATATCATGGCGCGTGTCACGTAGAGTGGGGTGGGTGGCGATGAGGTATTATGATAGAGACTGTCGTGGATGATCTTGATATCATGGATGAGTATCGCAGATCTTGCCTTGTGTTGATTTGATCTGGATCTCAACGGAGGACTGATCTAAGCATTGATTGCGATGATGTCATATATCCCAACTGCACAGTCATGATTTCCTGTCTTGAATGCCATATTGATGTATTATCGATGATGGGTAAAAAATTGAAGCAGAGACAGGGGACGTACAAGTAATATCTAATTCTAAACAAGGATCACATACTCTGAGCAATTTTATCTCAACAAAGCACTTCCTTTGGCCCTGTTTCAACTAAGAGCTGATGGTGGTCTAGGGGGTCCAACAAACACTGAGAGGGGGTAGGCTCTCTGGAGCCTTAGCTCTCAGACCTTTTCTTAGGGAGAGAGCTGGGCTACATCAATCTAGCGCGCCTTTGGCCAGGGATTGATTATTGGCTGTCGCCTAACCAGTTAGTCATGGTTGGTGAGGCGTATATCCCAGCTCTATAAGTTTCAAACTGGCTTTGCATCTAGCTTGGTTTAGGGTGAACAGACTAGAACTACTATGATTTATAATATTCCATCCGTGCAAGAGAGAATAGCCCAGCTCGAGCTTGAGAGTAGAAACTGTTGTAGCGAGTCGTCCCTTCTAGGCCATGTGACCTCGCCTAGCTCTCGCACAGTAGATGCTCTATACTTCCTCTTCTCCCTCTCTCAAGACACGCCAACAACACATTCAAGATGCCTTCTTTATTTCCAGGTCGTTTAGGCCATTTCCATAGCCATAGGAGGTTACGCCTCGATTCTGACGGCAATCTCCATTTAGTGAACCGACTCTCAAGACAACCTCCGTCTACAGGACTGATTTCAACGAGAATCTGCAACAAAATGAAGGCTACAGTGAATTTCAAGGCATTGTTTGAGCCTGAGGCACCAATTGTATAGGTATATAATCTCACAGATTTGAGACTATTCACTCATTAACCATCATTCATCTCTCTCCCCAGCTACAGCTACATATCGCGCTCAAAACCCTGATAGCACGTCCTCGACGCCAGGCTTGCAAGTACAGGTAACTCCCCGAGCATGACTGTCTAAAAATCGAGCTGACGCCTTCAAGTCACAGAAGGTCGCCAGAATGGGGATCGAAATCCTAGATTTACCCGTTGAGATACTCGAAATGATCTTCTTCGAAGCCATCCTTCCTTGGGAAGAGAGCATCGACAAGCTCATGGACTATGAGAGTGGCCTCTGTATTGCTCTGACCTGCAAGAGATTCAATCTCGTCGTTCGACGTGTCTTTTACCGTCGAATCGAACTGGGCACGCCAGATCTTGATCCCATCAGCGGAAGGGCTGAAAGTCTGTTGCAGTCCCTGTCCTTGTACCCTGCATTGCAATCCACCTGTCAGTCCTTCCAAGTTTACCTCGAAGAAGGAGCCTTTACAAAGCACACCTTCAGAACAATCAGCAAGCTGGTGTCTTTGCTTCATCGCGTGCGCGTTTTCGAGGTGATTGGGAGCAACGGCCATCCGTGGACCTGGCTGCTACTTCTGAAAGCCATTCAGATGAAGACTGTGGATGAGATTCGAGCTGGTGACTGCATTGTACCCCCTCAAGATGTATTCATGATCAAGAAATGGGAGGTCTGGGCCGCGAGAATGGCTGCTCTGGGAGACAATATTCCTGGAAATGTTGCGTGTTTTCTCCACAGACAGGTGAGCCGAGGCCATTTGATTACTTTTTGTTTCCATCCACTTGAATCCCCCCATACAGGTGCTTCTACTATAACGGGAACCCAGCTGACAGTTGAAAGAGTGAAAACGGAACCCTTCCTATTATCAAGACCGCGAAATTGAACGGATTCAGCCAAACCCCACCACTGCTGGCAGAGATCATGACCTGGTTCGACGGACTCGAGCATTTTGCCTTTACGTACACGCGCCCGCATGTGTGGGATTATAGATGGGACTACGCCAACCTCGGAGCGGCCCTCGACCACCACAAGGAGACACTGAAGTCGATTCTGATTTATCAGTTTGGGTACAGCGGGGCTGGCCTCTTCGACCTGACCAGCTACACGAATCTTAGAGTGCTCGAACTCTCATTCTACAACGTCATGGTTGAACCGCCAGAATACGCCGCGACCAGACTCCTTGCGCCGAACTTGGAGCTATTGGTGCTTGACTTTTGGACGCATGTCCGCCAGAAGGCGAAATACAACTGTATTGAACGTGGTGACGAGGAGTGGTTCGTGCAATTTGGAGAACATGCGGCCAAAAGACGAAAGTCCCTGCCCCGGGTGCACGCCAAAATCCCCGTCTATGCGTTCCGAGGCACTAAGCAGGAGCTTGGCCAGGCCCAGCTCACGTTTGATGATCTCGACCACATCGAGGATGCGCTGCAGGGATATGGCATTGACTTCACATTCGACGATCCTCCTATCTCAAAAGAAAAACGGGAGGAATGGATACGAGAGAAGGATGAATGGGACTTGCTGGATGGACTTTGGAGATATATGAACCGCTGGGCGAAATACCACTCGGAGGAATCAGATTCGGGGGAATCTACAGACGAGCTGGATGCCGGGGAGCCCGAGAAAGAGACCCAGGAATCTACAGACAGCTTGGATATCAAGGAAGATGAGAAACTGGCCCAGGAATCCGCAGACAAGCTGGATACTAAAGAGCCCGAGGAGGAGATCCAGACTTGACCATGTTGTCATCATGTATCAACTTGCACTTGCTCTGTTCAGCTCTGTCATGGACATCCTTGGAACATATTGAACCTGGCGCAAGGTGTGTAAATTGGCTGTTGATGATGTATTGAGTCCATACTATGTGAAATATGAAATATTTGTACTTTAGATGAGAGAATCTTTTGACATTGTTCCAGAATAACCCTAACAATTGATTAGTTCATATGAGTGTAACTCTGATATATCCATGAGTCATAAGGATGATGATAATTCTTATAGTATTCACTTTCTCTCTCCTTGTCTTATAAGAATCTGATGTTTAATATTCTTTATCATTTATTTCATTCTCCCTAACCTATAGACCACACTGGCCATATGTGGTTAGTTACTTATTCACTCCTGTATAACTTTTCTTTATGATTTACTGTTTATTTTAGCTCTAGCAAAGCATAGACACCCTATAACTATTTACTCTATATCCTTTCTCTGTATTCACAGGGACAAGAAGGAATTGCCATCATGAAGAATAAGATATACTAGCACTTGAAGTCTAACTATAGCTAGGGCTCATGGCCATGTCTTATCACTAATATAGTGGAGTAATTCACCAAGTGGAGTCTTACCACAACATCACATATGGATGATCCATCTCCATCTACTCATTCTAGCATAAACCAACATCTCTCAAATCACCTTGATCTATATAGCCCGGATTCTAAGTCCATCCATCCATGGATCCAAACGACATCAACATCCTCGCTCACTTCCTAGCCTTCAACCAAATCCCCTCATCTTCCCCTCCCCCAGCAGACGTCCTCGTCCTCTGCGTCTCCGCCATCCTCCCCACCGCAGAGAAAGTCTTCACCCATCTCGAAACCAACCCAACAGCAACCAAAACCCTGGTCCTCTGTGGCGGACTCGGCCACTCCACACCCCATCTCTACGACGCAGTCGCCAACGATCCACGCTACGCGCATCTCCTCCCAGAGGTCGCCGGACTCCCAGAAGCACAGGCCCTCCATCGCATTTTCACGCGCTGCTTTGATGCACCGCGGATCCAGAACGCATGTCGGGTCCTGGTTGAAGACCGCTCGACGAACTGCGGCGCGAATGCGGTTGAAACGAAGCGGCTTCTTGAGGCGCATGGAGTCTCTCCGCGGAGTATGCTGATTGTGCAGGACCCGACCATGTCTCGGCGGACGGTGGCGTCGTTTGAGAAGGCTTTTGGTGGGGCTGCTGGGTCTGGGAAGGGGGGGCTACGGTTGACCAGTTGGCCGACTTTTGTGCCGAGGGTTAGGCTGGAAGGAGGGGAGGTGGTGTATGATGAGTCGGTTGGGATTGGGGCGTCGCGCTTGTGGAGGGTACCGCGGTTTCTGGGGTTGCTGATGGGGGAGATTCCGCGACTTAGAGATGATGAGGAGGGGTATGGGCCCAGAGGGAAGGGGTTTATTGTGCACGTTGATATTCCGGATGAGGTAGAGGAAGCGTGGAAGAGGATGGAGAGTGTGGAGATGGAGTGGGAGAGACGGTAGTTGTGGTTGATGTCGGGATATAAGACAAGCTGATGTCTCGCGTCTGATTTATATAAAGATACAGCAAGACATCTTTGTCAGTGTTTCAGTCGAACTGCATTTCTAACCGTGGTATGAGAGACTGCGGTGTATAAAGACGAAGTCGAATCTAGACTTTGACCTGTTCTCTAACATCTCCATCACTGCTGCGCAGAATGGCCCACTCAACAACTCCAACTGACCAGCATCCCTGGAGGATTGCCCCCAAACAGACAAAAATGAGCTGCCTTGCTGACAAGCAGACAATGGGGTATGTCACGAAGCATATCACCCATCCAATGAACTGTACTGACCTTACCAGCCTCCGCAGCGGAACCTTCCAAGTCCACGTCGGCAAAGACGACAATATGGTCACCTTCCACATCCACATCTCCGTCGCCTGCAAATACTCCAGCTTCTTCCGCTCAGCCGTCATCTGGTCCTGGGTCAGATCCACCGGCGACGTCGTCAACCTCCCCGAGTACGAGCCCGACACGTTTGAACTCTACCTGCAGTGGCGCTACACGAACACCCTTCCTGTCAGCGAAGAATCGGAAGAGAAACCATAGTACTGCGACCTGCTTCTCCTGGCCAAGGCATACGCGCTGGGCGCGTATCTCGCCGACACCTTCTTCCAGGACGCCGTGGCGGATGCCTTGATGCATAGGCTGTATGCGAAGAGGGAGACTTCGGGAAGATGCAAAGGCTGTCGGTGGGAGTTTGTGGCTTTTCTGTATGAGAAGACGGGCTCGAGCTCGCCTATTCGCCATCTTCTGGTTAATATGCTGGCAAGAGATTATGAAAGATGGCTATCTGAGGTGGGAGCAGCCAGTCTGCCCAAAGAGTTTCTGTCTGATCTGTTGATGTATGTTGCGGGGGTGACGGCTCATCGGCCTATGCAGGAGTACTGGGGGAAATGCACATTTCATTCACATGAGGCAGAGCAAGAGTGCTATCGCCGTCACTTTATGATTAATTGATTTGGTGTTATCAAGGGTTTGGTGATGTGTTGGGCTCATATTTCTGGGGGTGTTTGTGTTTCAGTTTCTTCTTTTGGAATGTGGATGGCTTCAAGTTTGTTCTCACCTTCTCTCTTCCCCCTCTCTCCCTTCTCTTCCTTCGTTGTACCATTAACATGAGAATATCGACATCGAATACAGACTAGAGAAGGCATATTCTATAAATGCAGGGCTTTGTTGATCTCAGACCAGGATCCAATCACGTCATTCGTATTTGACGCGGGGTTGAGGCTTCATTCACCCTGCAGGAAATGTCCAGCAGCCTTCGTCCCCATCTTCTTTTTCTTCTTCACCATCATCTTCAAGCCATCGAATTCATCAGATCCACCTTCGTGAATCAAAATGGCAGATCAAGACAAGCTCACCGACTACCGCCTCAACGCCGCCACACTCAACACTGCCATCCAGAGCATCGGCATGGGCGCCTATCAATGGCAACTCTTTATCGTCATCGGCTTCGGCTGGGCAAGCGACAACCTCTGGCCGATCGTGACCTCGCTCATCCTGGGCCCTGTCACGTCGGAATTCCACATCTCCAGTCCGCCATTCCTGACTCTAGCCCAGAACATCGGCCTGCTCCTTGGCGCCCTGTTCTGGGGCTTCGGCTGCGACATCTTCGGCCGCCGCTGGGCCTTCAATCTCACCATCGGCCTGACCGCAGTATTCGGGCTCGTGGCCGCCGCGTCGCCCACCTTCGCCGCGGTATGCGTATTCACCGCGCTGTGGTCCACCGGCGTGGGCGGGAACCTCCCCGTCGACTCGGCCATCTTCCTCGAGTTCCTCCCGGGCTCGCACCAGTACCTCCTCACCGTACTGTCCGTCTACTGGGCGCTCGCCCAGCTGCTCGCCAATCTCATCGCCTGGCCGATCCTCGGCAATCTCACCTGCCCCGATGAGGAGACCTGCACCCGCGCCAACAACATGGGCTGGCGGTATTTCCTCATCGCCATGGGCGGGATTGCCCTCCTCATGTGCCTCCTCCGCTGGACCTGTTTCACCTTGTATGAATCGCCAAAGTTTCTAATGGGCAAAGGCCGCTACGAAGACGCCGTGGCCGTCGTCCACGAAGTCGCCCGCCGCAATGGCACCTCTGCCTCCTTGTCCGTCGACGACCTCACCACCCCTGCAACCACCGCAGACACGGCCCGCGGCGGCTCCCGCGGGACAAACGTCCTCATCCGCCAACGCCTCGACCACCTGACCCTCAACCACATCCGGGCCCTCTTCGACACCCCCCGCCGCGCGTGGTCCACATCCCTCCTGATCGTCGTCTGGGGTCTTATCGGCCTCGGCTTCCCCCTCTACAACGCCTTCCTGCCCTACATCCAGCAAACCAAGGGCGCCGAGTTCGGCGACGGCTCAACGGCCCTGACCTACCGCAACTCGCTGATCATCGCTGCGGCAGGCCTCCCCGGTGCCCTGATCGGCGGCGTGCTAGTCGAAGTACCCTACCTCGGCCGACGGGGCGCCATCAGTTCCTCCGCTGTGCTGACGGGCGCTTTCCTGCTGGCGTCCACGACGGCCATGTCCTCTTCTGCGCTGCTGGGTTGGAACTGCGCGTATAGCTTCACGAGTAGTCTGCTCTATGCGGTGCTGTATGCGTATACGCCCGAGATGTTCCTGACCAAGGACCGCGGGACGGGCAATGCGTTGACCGCGGCCGCGAACCGGGTGGGCGGCATCCTCGCGCCGGTTATTGCGCTCGTAGCGGATCTGAAGACCAGTGTGCCGGTGTATGTGAGCGGGGGGTTGTTTGTGGTTGCTGGGCTGGTGGTCTTGATGATTGGGTATGAGTCGAGGGGGAAGACGAGCCTATAGTCATACATACAGAGCGTCCATACAGCACCTCATACATAGAATTCAGCTAGACTTGAGTGATAAAGGTCTACTTCTTGACATTATAGTACCCCTTGCGATCCCAGAAATCAATAAACCTCTTCAGCATCTCCGCGTCAAACGGCACGAATTCAATTTCCGGGTGGTCCTTCAGCGCTTCAACCGTGTTATCGCACCGGTACACAGGCGAGTACTGGCTCGCTTCCCACCGCGTCAGCCTCCCCAGCACCTTCTCCTGGAACACCGGCATCAGAGGAGCCAATGGCCCCTTCTTCTGCTGCGCGGCCACCTGCTCCACCCACTCCTCGTACGGGATGAGTCTGACATCGTACCCTGCCTCGTTGAGCACGGCGCAGGTTCCTTCAACCGTTACCGACTGGCGCACATCCGGAGAAAGCAGGCTATACGATCTGCCTAGGTTGCTATTATCCGACGCGATCTGCATTATGGCCGCCAGCACATAGTCCACCGTCACGTACTCGAGGCGCTGGTCGAGGCGCGGGAATGTCCCGAGCTGGATACACCCCACCACAAACCGGGAGAAGAAGTCGTCGGGGTTGCTGGTCCCTGTCGTGCTATCGCCGATGATGAAACCTGGTCGGTAGATTGCGACGGGTAAGCCCCGGTCTCGCATGCGGCGCACCATGGCCTCGGCCGTCCACTGGCTCTGCGCGTAGCCCAGATCGTACCGAAGACCCTGGATGTGCGGTTGGAGGGGCTCGTCCTCGTAGAGTACCTTGGTGCCGAGGATGCAGCCCGTTGGACCCCACACGTCGATGCTCGACATGTAATGGAATGCCTTGCGGCGGCCGGCGGCCGCTAGCCGGAGGGCGTTGCATGTCCCCACGACATTGGCGGTGTGATGCTCGCGATACGACTCGCAGAAGTTAACCTTTGCCCCGAGGTGGAAGATTACTGAGGCCCAGTCGGCCAGCCAGGTGAATTTCTTTGTTCCCAGGCCCAGTTCGCTGTCGGCAAGATCTCCCTCCAGAGTCAGTAGCTTCTGCGTCTGCTCGAACGCGTCGGGCCATAGATCGTATCGTTCCAGGGCCCGCTGTATTCGAGTCGCCGCGCTGAGCCCGTTCTTAGGACGTGCCAGACATGCAATCTGTTTCACTGCGGGTCTCTGCATGAGGTGATGCAGGAGGTGAGCGCCCACAAAGCCGGTCACGCCGGTGATGAAGACGCGTCCTTCGGTTTCTGCTTCCCATTGCGGGACGAGCTCGATATCATCGACGAGATCGACATCTTGCATCCAGATTCTGGTATCGTCGGGTGCATTGGCTTGTTTGAGCTCCGCGGGTTCTAAAAACCGTACCAATCTGTCGAGCCTGGAATGGCGATGCAACTCTTCCATCGAGACAAGACAGCCGAAATGCTCTTGGATGAGAGAGATCAGCGCCGCAGCTTGGAGCGAACTGCCTCCAAGTGCAAAAAAGTCATCCTCGTCTCGAACTTCGGAGACATTGAGCAGGTCCCTCCAGAGTCCCCGAACCACGGTTTTCTTGTCATTTGATCCGTGTCCATTGATTGATGGCGCTGGTTCTCGAGAGTCAAGCCTTTGTTGAACAAGGGCCTTGCGGTCTACTTTTCCGTTTTGGGTCAACGGAAACTCCGTGGCATATTCGATGGCATCGGGAACCATGTACGACGGAAGCCGCTCGCGAGCATACTCTAGCAGATGCTGTGGATGGGGCTTCTCGCTGCCTGCCACAAAGGCCACCAGCGCATGCATTCCGTCCTCGGATAGCGGCGGTTGTCGAACCACCACGGCCGACTGAATGCCTCCATGCGAGAGCAAGACACGTTCAATTTCGCCTAGCTCAACACGGAATCCCCCATGTTTGACCTGATTGTCGACTCGGCCGACGAAATCGAGAACATCAGTACCAGCGCGCCATTCCGCCATGTCTCCCGTGCGATACAGACGGACGGTTCCCTCACCAGGCAATCCCAGGTCCTTTCTGTTCAAATGAACAAAACATTGGTTAGTCTCATCGGGCCTATTCCGATATCCTGCTGACTGCTGCGGTCCTCCGATGTAAATCTCGCCCTGTCTTCCGCTGTCATGGATAGGCTTCTGATCTTCATCCAAAAGCACGAGTTCCATGTCCCCCACCGCTTTACCAATGCTGATTCTTTCTTTAGAAGTTTCTTCCAAGGTGACTTCAAACATGGTGGTCAGCGTCGTACACTCTGTCGGACCGTACGTGTTCCACAGGTGCTGTGGCGGTCCCCCTTGCAGAACAGCTCTCATAGCACGCACATTTGCCACGTCTCCAGCTGTGAGGACATGGCGTAACGACGAAAATGCTGCCGGGTCTGTGAAGCCGATGATTTGGAACAGTGCAGCTGTAATGATTGTCACTGTCACCTCCTGAGACTCGAGAAATCTCCGCAAAGCACCGGGATCAGTGGCAACCCCTCGGGGCATCACCACAATTGTGGCCCCCGAGATGAGTGTGACCCAGATCTCGAACAAACTTAAATCAAAGCCCGGATTGTTGAACTCGGTCACTCTATCGGCTTTTGACAATGGTGTTGTGGGAGTCTTTGTCGCCAGGTGCAGAATGCTTTCTGCACGGATTTCAACCGGTTTGGGCTTTCCGGTGGACCCCGAGGTGAAGAGAATATGGCTTATTTCTGACTGATTTTCGAACTCCCCCGGCATTACCTCGAGGGTCTTCCCGCCGGAAATATGGTGCACGTGAATGACTTCGAAAGATTGCAAATCCACGGTAACCTCACCGTCAACGAGTATACGTTTTACTTGGACATCGCTCAAGAGCGCAGTGATGCGACGCTCTGGAAGTGATGGCTCGATAGGCACACAGGTCCCACCGGCAAGACGCACAGCAAGCTGAGAAACAACCTGCTTGATTCCAGGGCCGAGTAGGATCCCGATCATTTCACCAGCGACGCTCGCCCCGAGCGTGCGGGCTAAGTGAGCAGCTTCTGCCATCAACTCAGCATAACTGAGAGATAGGTTGCCGTCCTCCACAGCTGCAGAGTCGGGGGCTCTCTGGGCATGGTCATAGATAATTCTTTCCATAGCTTTTGCTTCAATCAGACGAGGGTGCTTCAAGATTCAGAGAACGTGCTTGTGAACTTGCTGTTGATATCAGAATTGACTCTCATCCCATGAAGTCACGGCAGCTTTTATAGACAAGGCAGAAAGACTCGCCCCATCTTCTGCCCTCCAAGCGCTATATCTCTGTTCATCATCATAATCGGCCAGTTGGAACTTCAAGGCATGCCCTGACGCATGCTGCAAACCTGTACTGACAAGTCATTCTCAGCACCGCTGCTCTCGGCCGATCACTCTCAACGACGCCAGTAACTATCGCAAGAGTCCTGTGCACAGATGTGACTCAGTCTGTCACTTGACGCATTCATGAACGTCAGATATTGCCATATAGGTCTCTCTGCATCTGTGATCAGCGTTGTTTTCCGGCCGAAAAGACTCCCAAGGGATTCTCCTCCTCTGAAAGCAGAGCTCAGCACACTCAGAAACTCAAATCCATGCAAGATTAGGCCTCGAAGACATTGAGAGGGCAATCTGTTGAGATTCCTTCGTAAAGCGTAGCTCACATTCCGTCCACAGAGGAGTAGTCAAGGCGTCGGTCCTGCGAAATGATCTCACAATCATCGCACTAGAGAACGAACATGAAATCTCAAAGCCCGAGATGTGGGTAACAAAATTGGTAAACTTGTTGTCAACCTACCGGGCTTTGATCTGACAAGATGCCTCGCGGCCTCTGGCCTCCCTTATCCTTCCCGATTCAAACAATTGCAGATTGCCATCAATTCGATCGACAACCTCACGACTATGCATATGAAGGAAAAGAACCCAAATACTGGCCACATGTATTACTTGCATTCCTTGGGCTGCAAAAGATTCTTCAAGCGGGTTGGGGCGGCAGCTGGCCATAATTGGTCGTTGGGCATTTCGTGCATGCGTTGTACAGCTCAGGCGAACTCCCTTCCAATCAACAGACAACAATTCAATAATGTCGCTCATATGTCCATCAGTCACCAGGTTTTATGCAGAAACTCTATCTTGAGGCCTGTCTTGTTGCTGGGCCTGGGGAAGACCGTGCTCTTACCGGGACAGCCCTGGATGTGACGAAGTAAGCTGCAGGATGAGGGAAGACACCAAGTAAGTCGTATGAAAAATATACCTGTCGGCATCTGATGCGTTCATTCGGAGTCATCATGCTTCATTCCTCGAGTCAAATGGAAATTTTGAGCAATAGCAGTGATCTCAGAACTATTCTTGGTCTTGGAAGACCCCGATGTTATAAGTACTGCAACTGCACTGTGAGCCTGTCGGATTCCAATCAAGATTTTTATTGTGAGAGAAAAGACCTTGTACCACTCTGCACTGCAACATCCTACCTGCAACAATATGGAAGGCAAGAAGATCTTGTCCCGTAAACTTCAGTCCACACTGGAGGAGCGTGATCGTGATAAGCGATTGATCAAGCCCGCGGATCCAGAAGTCCTTGCTCAGATGGTGGACTTTGGTTCTAATGATACGCTTTCGCTCGCAACATCAGGAGCTCTGACTCGGGCCTTCCTGGATCAACTCCGGAAGAACCCGAACTTCATTGTCGGTAGCACCTCGAGTCGCGCCTTGGAAGGAACGACCAAATACCTGAAGGATCTTGAGCTCTACCTGGCTCGGTTTCACAAGGCTGAGTCGGCTGCGTTCTTCAATTCTGGTTATGATGCGAATGTGGCCATCTGGTCGACCATCCCACAGCCCGGAGATTTCGTATTACACGATGAGTATGTGCATGCAAGCATCCATGATGGAATGCGACGGGGACGGGCCACCACCGTCTCCTTTGCCCACAACAATTGTGACTCCTTCCGCCGTGCTCTAGAAGATCTTCGTGACCAGCACCCTGCAGTGTTAGAGGGCAGGCAAGTGGTATTCATCGCCCTGGAATCATTCTATAGCATGGAGGGCGACGCAGCCCCTATTCATGAAATGCTTGACATTGCCAAGAAGACTCTTCCAAGGGGGAATGTCATGTTTTCGGTGGACGAGGCACACTCGAACGGCTTGATCGGACCGAACGGCTCAGGTTTCGTGTGCCATTATGGACTCGAGGAGGAAATCGGGCTTCGCTTGAATACCTGCGGCAAAGCTTTGGGTTCGAATGGAGGTACGTGTCCAGATCCTTCCACTACTGTGACTTCCCCCTGACCTTCTCAGGCGTGGTGCTGGCCAGTCCGACTATAAAACAGACCCTTATCAATTACGCGCGGAATTTCATCTTTACCACTGCCCCTTCGTTTGTAGCGTTAGCAGCGGTCAAGGCTGGGTATGAGATCATTGCCAGCGAGGACGGAGAGAAGGTTCGCACTTCCTGCACGTATCAAGCTCGGAGCTAACGAAAACAGCGCCGACAACGCCTGCAGCAGAATATCAGGCATTTTTACCATAAATTGACTAGCCATCCGCAATGGGCTACTGTCAAAGCAAGAGCCATCATCCAGCTTCCGACTGAGAATACCTGGAACACTGGACCTTTCCAGTCGCCCATCATTCCGTTGGTGACCCCTGGCGAATCGACCGAGTTGGCGGAACAGATGCAACGAGCCAAATTCTGGGCGAACCCGGTGCGGTATCCTGTTGTCCCAAGGAAGCTTGATCGAGTGCGGATCTCGGTGCATGCGGACAATACCGAGGAGCAGATTGACGCTGTTGTTGAGGTGATTATGGACTGGGCGATGAAGCGAGCTGAGCAGTCCGAAAGAACGGCCAAGTTGTAATGCGACCATGATTGCGATGACATGATTAGCTTTATAGCAAATATCCAAGCTAGAAACTTTGAGACTTACTTTCAACCAAGCGTATGACGGGAATGTAGCTTGTGTGTCCTTTTAGTGGTCATAAATTGATCAAGCACTGGATAATTGATCCGGCGTTGGTAATTCATGTAATCCACTTATCATAGCAAACAAACAGCGAGAGCAAAGGGATGGGGAAAAGTGGAAAGCGCAAGAGATTCTGTCGAAAGGAGAATACTCGCGAGGTCATGTGGTCATCCCAGAACAGATGACTTGACATTTTCACTCCAGCTAAAGGCAAGAATTTCCCTCCCCATCCAACAGTATTACAGGTCTTCCATCAGCCTCTCCTATAGACATACATGACCTCACAAATGAATGTCCAACTTGAGCTCGTCTCTTCTTCCAAACCCGCCGACATCGCATCCCAATCACCACAATTTCGCGGAAGGAGTCTACACCAACTGTTAGCGAACAGAACAGCAAATTACAACAGGGGCTCTAGAAAGTACAGCAGCAGGAGTAGCCAACGACATGGAGACTGTCAGAGGCGTAGGCGACGCCAATCCTCTCCGAACGAACCGAGCAGGATGACTTGGTACATGGACGGAGATTGAGGAGGAGGGTCCCGCCAGAAGCGCGCTGGGAGATGTCGAGGCCGAAGCCGTAGGGGTGAATTGCGAAGAAACCATGGTCAGGAGGGTGAAAGTAGTTGTGATGAGACTTGTGAAGTGCATGGTGATGTGTACTGTCTATAAGAGAGGAGGATATTGAAGTTGAGATCTTGACTGGTGGCGGAGGATTGGAGGGAGGGGATTGCAGGCCCATTTATACATGCTCAATCGATGGTAAGTACAGGCAATATTTTGTTGTTGATCATGATGTGGATGTCTAGCTGTATGAGACAGTGTTGTACTTGTCTTCAAGTTATTCGGACCAGGTGTGAATTATAATCAATGATCTATGTCTTGAGGATATGTCGATCAATACCGCGTTTCCTGTTCTGCATTGGAACCAGGTTTTCTGTCCGTAGATTAACTAAACATACTTCAGATATAGCACGAGAGAAATAACCATGATCAACATTAGCTGCATACAACTGCATATGCTTTGAGCAAGGGTTATGACCGCCCTTGCATTGTGTGAGACCAACAACAGGTTCTGACTGAAGAAGATAGATCTGACCGTAGATCGTGGCAAAGATAAAGTCACGGAAATTCAGTAGGTTCAGATACGGACAATATATGCCTTGCCATTTAGACAAATCGTCCACGAACAGACGTTGATATCTTTTCTTCAGCTTGCTGTCTTTGGCCAAGCGGTAGAATCTCAGTATGCCTTGCGTCTGGCGTGTTCATCTATACACCGTTCCAAAGAAGATCGAACCTAATACTGGAAACATCAACAGACCCTTGGGTTTAAAGATCGAGAGATCGTCAAGGACGAATCCTTCAATTTTGAGTCATTCAAATCATTCAAGACCGCGGTGAATGATAGCAAGTAAACATTGCACCTATGATGCAAAGACAAAGGTACGGACATATGGGTCTTCCCCAGACTTTATTTAACCATTGACATCATCATGCTCAGGCTCTAATCCTGGAATGATATCAAATAGACTCCACTATCTATCTAAATACTAGGACGAAATCATAACTAGGCTGGAGCTTGGCCATGCTTGTTTCTCTCCACATTTGACTCTATCAGTATGACATCACCCTTCTCTCACCATATAAACCCGCCCTCGTCCAAGACACTTTTTTCCGATTTCAGCACATTCTCATCCACTCATCGAGTCCTCCAAGAGACCGTATTTCCGATTGTCTACTGCACAACTGATACTACTAGATTAGTGAAACCATGAGTAACAGTCAAGATCACCAGGATGACCAGACTCCAAAGCTGCATCGGTAAGGCAATTCGCATCCTCCACTGGGAGCAGCTCTAAACTAACGAAACAGCATCGGAAAATGGATGCCCTCCAGCCACGCCGCCCACCAGGAATGGCTCGGCGGCGTCATCACACACGTCGACAAGAACAAGTCCGATAAATGTCACCCCGTTCTGCAAGAATTCAAAGAACTGATTGAATCCAACACCCGCGTCTACTTGCTCATCTCCGCCATGTTTGCCGAAATCCCGCGCAAACGACCATACAGTACCGACCCGACCGGCTGCGCTCAGATCCGCGACTATCACCACCTCCTGCATGTCTTGAACTATCTTCTGACCACTGCCCCTAGCTGGAACGATTTTTCTCACCGCGTTGGTCTCGTTGGTCTTCCGATCAATGCGGTGTTGGACTGGAGCATGGGTACGCCTAGCGGCTACGCCGCGTATCTGGACCCGGAAATCAACAGGATGATCAAGAAGATTCTCAATGCCTGGGGAGACTACCTCAAGTCTCCAGAGTCTGCGTCAGTCCTCAACGACACTTCCAGCGGCTGGTTCGGCTCCACGGCCAGGTCGGATCTGGTGGAAGTCGCTAACGTTGGCGAGACCAACCATTCCTTCGAGGATCTGTACGTTTGCGACCCGTCGGCAAAACACCACGGCTTCAAATCGTGGGACGACTTCTTCACTCGTGTTTTCCGCGAGGGCGTAAGACCCGTCGCGTCACCCGACGACAACACCGTCATCGCAAATGCCTGCGAGTCGCAGCCCTACAAGGTCGCTCACAATGTCAAAGAGCGAGACATGTTCTGGATCAAAGAGCAACCGTACTCAGTCCGCGATATGCTCAACCACGACGAGCTCACGCCGCAGTTTGTCGGCGGAACTGTCTACCAAGCGTTCTTGAGCGCGCTCAGCTACCACCGCTGGCATTCGCCTGTCAGCGGAAAGGTGGTGAAAGCATATGTCGTTGACGGGACATACTACTCCGAGCCGCTGTTTGAGGGGCTCGGGGATCCGTCGTCCCGTCAGATCGACCTGGCAGGCCAGGTCACCGCCCAGGAGTATAACAGCGCCACGGCGACGAGAGCACTGATCTTCATAGAGGCAGATCACCCGGCCATCGGCCTTATGTGCTTCATGGGTATCGGTATGTGCGAGGTCTCAACATGCGAGATCACAGTCAAGGAGGGTCAGCATCTGAACAAGGGCGACCAGCTCGGTATGTTCCACTTTGGAGGGTCGACGCATTGCTTGCTCTTCCGTAAGGGTGTCAAGGTGGAGGGATTTCCGGATCCTTCAAGAGGTCGGAACATGCCTGTCCGCAGTCACCTGGCAAAGGTCCAGCCTTAGCTGCTTAGTTGGTGTATATAGCATGTTTGAGTACATATTGCAGGCGTCCATGTACAGACGTTCATGCAGGAAGCAAAATACAAAGAGCCATTCCTTGTTGATGCATCAAAATGGTGTCTCTTGTGTAATAGTTCATCTGAATCTGCGAATAGGCTTGGTTGTGAACATGTAGGAAGTAGACATTAATTAACGATTGGGTGACAGGAACAGTGGGAGGTTATTGTAGGTACTGCTCATCCATCAGCTTCGGTTAAAAGAAATAGAAGAGGGCGCTCCGTGTGGTTGGTCACTACACATTACTGTTGATAGGCGACGAAGAGTGGTCGAGAGGTCTGCATCTCGCGCTTCTGGACGATGTACTGAGAGTCTAGTAGGAGATCAGCCAGGGAAACGAAAGAGAGCCACATCGTATGCATACGGTTGCCGAAACCCCGACCATTCAGCTCTGCCAGCTGGGATTCGATAGTGCTACTTCGTAGCAGGAGTTCGGCATGATTGCTGGTGAGCAGGACCTCTGGTAGCAACCTATTTGAAATCATGAACGAAGGTTATCTGTGACCGCTCCCAAACTCATTGATGGCTGATCTGTAACTGTGGCCGAGTAAGGTTCGTATACGCAGGTGCGTTTTGTCGACGGCAATGAAAGCATATAGGGTGTTCTCTGGAGCATTTGATCTTCTTCCGTCTAACAGCTCGAATTTGACTTGTCAGTTATCATATTACTCTTCATAAATTGTGACTTGGTCAATGCACGACTCACCTGCAGCTAGTGCAAGCCTGCTGAATTCGCTTGATGTTGGTACCGTGCAAGGAATCCACTTGAAGTCCATTCTTAGACCTCTACAACACCGCATATCGGTTGATCGGTCCGTATATTGATCAAAGATCCTCTACGTGACGACCCCTGAGGTGTGTGAGGTAACCATCATCGTATGGCGTAATGGATTGTTATTGAAATATAATACCACTGGGCCAAAAAGGCGTCCGGACGATGTACTCGTCAGTCTAGGGTTTCATATCCATAACGGGTATAATATTTTAACAATTGTTGAGGGGCTCGAGGCGGGAAAGCGGATGCGGGGGTAGCAGCAACGCTACGGAGTGCCTCAGTTGATACTCTGAATGCTGAAAGGCTCGGTGCCGTATCCGCTGGAAACTCAATCGTATGGGGCTATGTTTTTAGGAATAAACTAGTCGTTATGGGCCTATGGGGTGCATCAGTAGTTGTCCAAAAGGGTTCATGGCACAAGCTCTCAACTCGCCGTGTGAGGCTGCAGGCAATTCACAAATTTTTCAATATGCTCGAAATATCAGTGATGGGTAGCCTCTTTTACTGAAAAGCTGGAATATGGACACATATACTGATTATTGTGCGCAACTTTCAAGCGAGAGATGAATCGAAGGCGGCAACTCATGGCAAAAGTCAAATGACGCCGAATGGCCATACAAGGGAAGATTCCAACAACACTTCGCTAACTCTCCTTGACACCAAACACGCAATTCTTGATCTCAGGCTTAGTCGGCCTTGTTGCTACAAACGTTGGATGCTTTGGCACAGACTGGTGATTATGGAAGTAAGAAAATTCTTTCTCAGTTGGATGTTCCCTTCCTGGCGTCCCAAGCCCACAGATGTCGGTACGTCGAGCCCAAAGATCTCCGACTTGGAAAAGCTACCAGTGGAACTTTTGTACGAGATAGCAGACTTCCTTGCTGCTCCAGATTGGTGTTGCTTGTCGCTTTGTAGCCATAGACTATTCAACATCCTTGGACACAATAGTCGGCTTAAACCAAAGATAGAGCATTGGCAAATATTTCTGCAGCGACTTTCCCGAGATCTCCCTCGTCATATTTACTGCCACGAGTGCTCTGTCATTCATCAATGCGAGCGTATCAAGCCACCTAGTCCAATATGGTATTAGCATTTACACTTACCGAAGCACGACGAGCTCGACAAATCGCCCTAGCTCTTCTAGTCAATAAACGTGCACCCGATCGAGGTATGCCTTCTTCCAGATACATGTACAACTTGCCATGAAAAGGCATTATTGCGGCCCGACGCATGGAATACCGACCGAATCATTGGCATACGTCGAGATCCAGATCTCCGCTTCTCCATCACTCACATCATTGTTGTCAGTGGACGCACAGATATGCCATGGGCCGCGTTTGTGTCTTCGCATTCAGAACTGGATTTTGTTAAAGGATCTCAAGCCGAGTTCACTTTACAGAATCGATATATGTGTTCATCTCAACACTCAGGATGCGCCAATACCGGAATTGATAGAGTCGGAGTCGCACACTTGCAAGGGTTCGAGTCGAAGGTCGTCAAATCCGAATATCTACCAGTGTCATGCTTGCGGTATCGACTATCAAATGGAAGTTATTGACTGCGATAGAGAAGGGACTGCCTTGGTTATTACTAAATGGCTCGACTTAGGATCAGGCCTCGACCCGAATGATTCCAGGTGGACCAGACATTTGTATCCCTTAGGGATGAGGTCACTTGGAAAGATTGAGGCAATCCAGTCAGATGGAACACTCCGCTCTCACTTCGAGCAGGAGAGTGCGGTCTCGCTCGATGCTCTTACCCACAGGAATGCATCTTTGCTGAAGAGGAATGCGTTCCTGAGAAAGACGCATCAAATAAAATACACTTGGCTATTGCAGGGGGACGAAGCAATAGCCGAGTATAGGCGCTGATGGAAAGTCGCAAATCTTATGCACTTCCTGGGCTCAAATGCGTTAGAAGTGCCGCTCCGAGCCAATCTGGTCGGGGAGGTCTCAATCAACCTATATTTTCTGTGACTACTTGCCTGTATTGATATAATTTCATAGTCCTGGAAGACATAGAACTTGACCGACGTTCTCCATACTGAAGAGATGTAAACATAGGAGGATACTTTGAATCAATTTTCTGTAATTCAGCCTCTGGCACCGAATGGACTCAGGCACATGCCCACTTTCGCTTGGGGAAACTGCTCAGCACCTTCCTTCTGTTTTAGAAGCAATGCCTTGCCTGAGGCCTCTCTGTTGCCGTCTGCTACTTAACCTGTCTTTCCGAACACTTCTTCCCCCTCTTCTTCTTCTTCCTCTCAACTTCGGCTATACTTGTCTTTTTTACTTCGTACTAAGGACGCAATAATGACCGGAGCGGATATCAACTCTACCACTACGCAGTGCTGGTGACTAGTAGCCCTCTGGGCGAAGCTAAGACGAGCTCTCTTTGTAGTCCGTTTCTTCTTTTTTTTGCGTCGATTGTCTCTCAAGTGCACATAGCTTCTTAATGTTTAGATATAGAAAGTAGCATTCATTCAGGCTAGAGCTTTTCCTTCGAATATCATACCAAGTCGTCGAGGTCTAATAATAATCTTGGATTGAACTTAGTGAACACCTTTTCAGCGGTCTAAATATCCAATTAATTTGACTCTCCATTCAAGAAGCCAAAGATTTTCGTGCTTTCTGTGACCTTTGCCTTTGAGGCATCTTCTCGTCTACGCCGTTTCCAAATTATCATTTCTCCCCTAGCCCACATTCAATACACAGGCGAAGAGCAACAGAATTTCAGTTGACAACGCTGTCTGCGACACATGGTCCAAGACGCTTCAGCCTTTCTCATGAAACTGAATTCCTGTTGTCTGCAGAGATTGAGATTCAGATCGGAGCTTTATAGCCCGTCTCTGTGATAACCAATCGCTGGGAAAAGCGCTGTCTTTTAGAAAGTGTTTGTCGAGTCTGTTCTCCATGTGCAGAACACATTTGTTGATCATCAAATCACTAACCTTTTCTAACCTCTTATAGTCATTGCAGATGTCCCTCACAGCCAGTCTCGCCCGACTCCGCGATATCCTCTTGCTGAACTTAGCATTGTGAACGAATCGAGGGTCATCAACATGAGGATAGGCCGAAATAGCAGGTAGAAAACTCACATGAATACTGAAACTCTGGAAAATTTCTCCTCAGGCGGAGGATCATTGGTAAGCAGAACATGGAGGCCCATGTACAATGCGGATACCAACTATGAGATGCCAGCTGTCGATTTGAGCTTTGAGCGTCCAATCTGCGAGGCATTCGCTTAGACGAGCCCACTTGTGAGATGGGAGTTGAAGCCATCACATTCAATGGAGGTTCAGATTTGCGATAGAGCAGGAGAATATGCATCCTGGTTAGTGTTTTTTGATCTGGCGGCCATGAAGGAATGATTCGGGTGCTATCCTACCATCTCGATGGATATTCTTACAGGTATTTTCCGTCGGATTGACCATGTCAGGATTTATATGAGTTCGTCTGTTCTACGTCTGTGTTTGGAAGCCAAGCACGGCCAGTTGCCTCCTGTAAGACTGTATGATTGTGGCATTGGTGAGGTTTGTCGTGACGTGTGAATAGAGAATACAATTCTCTGAGCCTTGAGAGTTGTAATATATAACATATAGAAGGTTTACCAGAATGTGGGAATTTCTTGCCTTGAAACCTACAATTTATTATGCTCTGTCTAGGTTATCTGTGCTAGTAATTAAGGCGTGTTCTCCCTGGCAACATCACGGCTTCATCCCCAGCCGTTGTTGGGCGTACGGATCCCAGTCCATTTTTTCTCCCAGCTGGAACGTCTTGACCCATGAGCACCTTCAGCATCCTGCCTCATCATCTCATCAAACACTTCTTTAACCAAAACTCTTTCCATCCGAATCAACTCCTTGGACATCTCGACCCTCCTGGCGACCAAACCGTCAACAGACTCAACACATTATCCAACCGCTCCTGAAACTCCTTTCAACTGTCTACAACCTCCGAGATAATCCTCAACTCATTCAACTCGACCGCCTTCACTGGACGAGCCGAAAGCATCGCCTGCCATAGTCGCAGTGGAGATGCCGAGTTTCACCTCGCTCAGGGTCATATTTGCAACTTTGACCGGATATCGGAGGCAAACGCGAGATCTACACCCCCGCCACACGCGAGCCGTCGATGCAAGCGATCGTTACCTTTGGTGACAGATGGATCGCCTCGAATAAGTGTGTGAGACGGGTAAATTTAGCGTCAATGGTGTTTCCGCATTGTACTACAGGTGTAGAGCCCTTGCTGAAATCCAGGCCTGTGCAGAAGAACCGTCCTCTCCCCGTGATGATGAGTCGGGAGACAGAGGGGTTGTCTGTGGTGTCTTCGATGAGCCGGGTGAGGAGGTACGTGCGTTGCCCTTTTTTGGTCGGTTGAGGATGGGCTTGAGGTTCACGCCGGAGCTGTAGGCTAACAAGCCAGTTGTGTCTTTGATCGTAGTCCAGGATATCGGTTTCTTGGTGGCTGTTCGGGACGACCGTTTGGAGGGAATAAGGCCTTGCTTTATAGCCAGCGCGGTCCCAGCACGGCTGGCGTTGGTCTTGGACAAACGTCGAGATATCCACACTCCCGTCTCAACGAGCTTCATCAAATCAACACCCGTGTCAATGCCTGCCGATTGGAACATGTACAACAGATCCTCCGTCGCGACGTTCCCTTTGGCCCCTGGCGCATAGGGACATCCGCCGAGACCACCCACGCTGCTGTCGAACACGCGCACGCCGCAGTTGTACGCTTCCCATACATTGGCAACGGCCTGGCCGTAGGTATCGTGGAAGTGGCCAGCCATTTTGTCTAGTGGGATGTCGTGGTCGACTAGGTAGTGGAGCAGACTGCGGACTTTGTCGGGGCTCCCGACCCCGAGTGTGTCGCCTAGGCTGACTTCATAGCAGCCCATGTTTAACAGTTTTTGAACGCAGTGCAGCACGGCCGACGGCTCAGTAGGCCCATCGAACGGGTCCGCAAAAATACAGGAAACATACCTGTCGAGATCAGCAATTGTGTCTTGGGAACAGGTGAAGAAACCTAAACCTACCCTCGTACGGCAATCCCCGACTCAACCGCTTTCTCAGCTACAGCCTTTGCTCTCTCTATTCCTTGCTGTACTGTGCAGTTGATATTGGCTTTACTGAAACCCTCCGTCGCGCTGATGAACACCGCAACCTCCTTGACTCCATGCTCGATCGCAATATCCAGTCCTTTGATATTGGGCACGAGGACCGGCAGCCGAAGGCCCGGTTGACCTTGCAGTCGTCTGATAGACTCGTTCCCCAGTACATCGCGACAGTCCGCTAATTGTGGGATTGCTTTTGGTGAGACCACGGATGTCAACTCGATAGTCCGCAGTCCCGTCCCCCGCAGTCGCTGGATTAACTCGAGCTTCACGGACGTGGGAACAGGCTCTTTGATATTCTGCAAGCCATCACGGGGCCCGACCTCGACGATCCGAACTGCTTTACTTATTGTCATTGCGTCAAGATACTCGTGGTGGGCTGAGAAGATAGGTATTCAAAATGCAGCATGAAGAGCCATCATGCCATGTTTACTAAAAGATATGCTTCTGGGATTATTTGTGAAGATCACTCGGGTTGGGTCTGATTATTTCTATCCCAGATCGCATCATCTAGTATTTCTACAGGGCGTGGTCATCGTCAGAATCGGGCGTCCGGACCGAGGGAAGTCCGCAAATGGAAATAGGTGCTGCGATGACGTTAATCATTACATTCAACTATTCACACCAAGGAAAAGACTGGCTTTCCGCTCGGTTACGGTCCGGACCCGCCCGGAGCCTTAAGTGAGTGATGATTATGATTACAAGAGTCCAGAATATGCATGCCATGGAACATTTTCATGGAGTGCTCCATATCTATCTATGGGGTGCAGACTGCAGAGGTGCAGTTCAAATGCCGAGGAACGAGGCTCGAGAACATTCCAGCAATGCGCACAGGATGACAATCTGAGTCAGATGGCAACTCAGCCATCAAGAAGTTTCTAAATAAACATTCAACCATCACAAATACTACAATTTGGCTTTCTTCTGCCTAGCAGTAATTAAATTGTTGCCCCATCGCCCTCAGAACAATGCGTCTGGTGCTTTCTTCCGGTTTTGGAGACCCATCCCCGATTGCGGCGTCTCCATCCAGAAGTATGCTGTGGCGCTTTATGCCACCCCAGTGTTTGAGACACCCAGATTTGTATCTCGTCGTCTGAAAACCTGGCAGAAATATCTGCTTAGTCTTCATGAAACAAGCAACGCCCTCTCTATACCTCTCATCATGCAGTCCCAGAACACTGACTTCGCTGATGGCCGCGTGCGCCATAAGTCGCTCTTCGATCTCAGCAGGCCAGATGTTTTCTCCTCCTGCCATCATAATCAGTACAATCTCCTAAAATAGAAGAAGGAATATCCCCGTAGTATGCCCATACCCATCCTCATCAATGCACGCCTCATTCCTGGCATGCATCCATCTCACCCCTCCTCATCAACCCTCATCACCTCATCCGTCTTCTCCTGAGGAGCCGGAGCCGAGACCGGTGCCAAGGGTGGTTAGTTTCTTGTGTGTCTTGGAGAGAACTTTGAGCGCCGCGATGAACATTGTTGGGGACGTCGAGGAGGACGGTGGCGGGATCGGACTCGGATAGGAGGGAGTGGACGGTGCGTCTGGCGTCGAAGTAATCTGCTGGGAAGATGATTGCGCTGCCGTGGCAGGGCGAGGCGAGGAAGCCCATTACCAGACCGAAGCAGTGGAATAGGTTGTTCGATTGAGGTTGAGGGCTGCGCTGACGAAGCGGAGGTTGTTGCGGGTTAGCATCGCTGCTTTGGGGAGGCCGGTGGTTCCTTTGCTTGTTAGCGTGGGTGAACTGGAGATGAGGGTGTGATGTACCTGAGCTGAATTGCAGGTTGAGCATGGAGTCAAGACAAACCAGATCTTTCTGCAACACTGTGTAAGGAGTCCCTCGTTTCGCAACCCAGAATATACAACTTCTTTCAAGCGACTCAATACAAAAGCTGACGTTGCCATTCCTCCGAGCGCGTCCTGGCGCCAGCGAGCCATCTTAGCCAAACACAACGCCATTATTGTCACTTCCCGGCCGTTGGCACCAGCACTGAGTTTGAGCGATCGAGTTTGTTGTCATATTGTGGAGCGTCCGAATGGAAGCGAAACAAAGCCCTGGAGTACAGAGAAGTGTACTGGCACCGATGCCGTGTAAGGTTCTGCCGGTGTTGAAAAAGAACGGTGATGATGTCCAGTCTAGGGAGAGTATCATAATTGTTGAGAGTATGAATATGGTTATGGAGGTTAGTATCACGGCGTCTGCAGATGGGAAGTATGAGACGAACTGGAAGAAGGGAGATGCGATTGACGAAGGCGTGGTATTGTTCAGTGGTGTAGGTAAGAGCTTTACACTATCATCTTCAAAGTTGAATAGTCTATTGAATATGAATTTCCCCTCTATACAGTAGAATGGGACATGAGTATCTAGAATATTGGAAAGAGAATGATGAAAGTGGGCGAGGGAGACAAGGTGAGTGGGAGGAGGTGATCTAACCACTGTCCAGCAGATGTATCTTACGAAAACTAAACAACTAAATGCTTCAAAATGCATCTACAGCCACTCCAGCAAAAAAGACAAGAGGAGAGGATATTCAAACAGCAAAACGGAATGGGTAAGGCCCCCCTCTGGATACCTCTGTAGGGTACCACGCGAGGGCCTTTCCATTCCGCCCCGGTCTGGTACCTGCATAGGAGGAAATGTTCTATGCAGGCACCACCCGTATTCGAACCAGCGCAGTCTGGTGGTTGCAGGAGTCCCACAAGAGTCGAGTACTGAGACTGACTGGTTCGCAAGTGTTGACCCCTGCACCACCGGCGCCGGTTCCGTGCTAGAGAGCAAGTGACGGGGGGGCATATGTTGTCTAGTGCTTTGCCTAATCGGGAGTGAATAGCTGGATGCCTGGCATCCCAGGCAAGAAAGAACAGCCTGAGGCGTCGGTTCGAATCGCTTCTTGCTAATATGCTCGCTCGCTTGCTACAGCTTGCTCTGCTGTCTCGGCCTTCTCATCGCCTTGATCTCCTGATTCACAGCCAGCTCGAACAGAATCTCTTCGCTTCCACCTCCTACACCCATCACATGTATATTGCGGTTGATCTGTTCAATCGAGCTCCCATTTATCCTTGGAGTACCTCAATCCCCCCATGACCTGCTGTGCTTCTCGGTTGACCAGTTCCAGGATGCGTTCGGCGAGACCTTTAGACTAGCTGTCTCGGCCATGTATACCAGCTGTTTCATCCAGGAATATATTGAGTCCAGATTACGTGCCTTGGCACTGAACTTGACACGGGTGACTTGGTTTTTCGATTAGCTTCTTGCCAAACGTCTCCCGGGTGATGGCGTATTTGTGCGCGTCTTCAGTGCATACTCGTGCCATCTGAAGACTCGTACAAGCTAGCCGTAACCATTCATCGTTTAAAGTCTGATCTGGGTGGCAAGGGATATCGGATTACTGGGTGGCACAGCTGCCGTGAGTACCTACTGTTCATGATAATCCCAATCCCATTATTCTCTAAACCTAGCAGATTGCCACGGGAACTTGACCTCGTCGACCTCGATATCTTGGACCCTATTGTCTATTAGACACCGTCATGTCACAACATCTCAGTACTGACCACTTGCACGAACACAGAATTCTCAATCTTCCTGTGTCTGTTAACGGTCCCTACAGCACTCTTGTTGGGACTCTGCAGAATTCGCGATATAAACGATTAACATTGAAGAATTTAACATACTCAGGTTCTAGATACTCTATATGGGTCAGCTGCTGATTCTTCTGGTCCTTGGATGAAAAGGATATATACATGGCTCAGCTGGGTGACTGGGTCTAGGAGAATGTACACTGCGTCAGCTGGAGTAAGCAGCCACACATGTCAACAATATGTGTGTTTATCTCGTGCAATCATGCCCTTCATCTAACTACTGATACTACTACTCACCCTCAAATCTCTGATTTTCTTCCTAACTGATTAGAATCGTTCAATGTCCATTCATTCTCAGGAGTCAGGACTTTCACTTAGGGCTGGCCTCGAGTGAGCTAACCCGAAGCGGAAAACCTTGAGAGATGCCTTGGTGCCTGACAGATTCGCTTGTTTTGATCTTCGAAAACTTCCAAGTCAACAGCAACAACTCCCTCAACTTCGTCCATAATTCATCACCATCGCTTAGAGAATGCATCTGTTTGATCCACCAATCTCGCTTATTGGTCGATGGCAAGTGACTTCGGAGATTACCTATTGTCTAAACCGTTTGCTAACCCTTGCCATCAGCTACCGTATGCCGACATGGCCATTCACAAGTCATCCTGTCCGCCTCGGCTACTGTCTCCTCTCCTCCAGGGTCCAAACCAGCCAAGCCTAGCAAATTACGGAGTAGTTAATATATCGAAGACCAAGGGCATTAGCGAACTCCGCATTTTGTCGGATTTCCCCACCTTTTTCAGCATCCATCGTTCCCCAGTTTCTCCTGTTGGCGAATAACATCTTACTCCATTTGGACGAATTCCCTCTCCTTGGCCCTGCACCTTTCCTTTCCGGTGTATCCGAATGACGCCTCTCTGCATGGCCACGCACACTTAATGTTGTTGTTCCTTGATTAGCAACTTGTCCGAGGCTGCAAAACACCGCTATAAAAGAGGTCAGCTGCCTGGCTCCCCCCTGTCGTCTTCCAGGGTACGAGACCTTGACCACAAACCAAGATGCAGCTGAAATCTTTGGCGGTCCGACTGCTCTTTTGCTCGCTGGCATCTGCGGCACCTTCGCATCCCAATAATGGGTGCAAAGCTCCAGGAGGTCCCCCTCAGATCAATTCTCTAAGTACTTTGCAAGCGTTGAAGTACAATAACCTGGGCTCGGAAAACAACGGCACGGCTGCGGTTCTGATTTATGATCGAGTGGACTACGGTCAGGCGCAGGTGCAATGTGCTGCCATCGGGGAGAGCCTTTACTCACTGCATGATGCGACCGAAACAACCCGCACCGAACTTCAATATCAGTTCAATTATCTCATTCATAATGGCGATCTCCAGAAGAACGACCAGGTATGGGTTGCAAAAACCTCCTCAAAGGACTGCTCCGCCTATTTTCTCAGCCGCAAGGAGACCGTGACCATACCCTGCCATATGCAGCTGCCCGCGCTTTGTACGTCCAAGGTTCCTCCCACCACAGACACGAACAAGGCTGTTGTCGAGTCATCCAAGATCTCGGTAATGCACGAAGGTTACACTTTCACTGGATATCGCGACGCACGCTCATTCCGGTTCCTGGGTGTTCCTTTTGCCAACCCCCCTGTCAAAGACTTGAGATTCGCACCGCCTCAACCGTACAGTGGTCCCAAAAAGCTCGATGCTACCAAATTCTCCGACTCTTGCATCCAGTCAGTCTCGAGTTTTGGTACCCTGGGCAACGGCGGCATCTCCGAGGACTGTTTGTATCTCAACATCTACACCCCTGTGCTTCCTGCGCATGGTGCCCACAACTCTGTGCGCAAGCCAGTGGCCGTCTACTTCTACGGAGGCGCGTTTACCAAGGGCAGTGCATCCATGATCGACTACGACGGGGGCAACTTTGCAAGCCGCAACGATGTTGTTGTGGTGACAGTCAACTACCGCGTTGGCGCACTGGGCTGGCTGGCAACTGGCAATCTCACGACGGGAAGCTATGGCATCCGTGACCAAATCCTCGCCCTCGAATGGATCAACGAGTACATTGAAGCGTTCGGTGGGGACAAGTCACGGATTACGATCTTCGGCCAGTCAGCAGGCGGCCAGAGTGTGACAGCCTTGCTATCATCCAGCGCGGCCAAGGGTCTGTTCTCCGGTGCGATCGTTCAGTCGGCTCCCCTGGATCTGCCATGGTTTACCCGCGAGGTGTATGGAGAACTCGTCGCACCGGAGGTCGCCAAGGCTGTCGGCTGCGGACAGGGCAACCAAACCGTTTCCGAAGAGAAGCTGCTGTCGTGTCTGCGCTCGGTGCCCGCATCGTCCTTCCTCGACAACACGACCGAGTTCCAGTCCGCCATGGCGGCCGTGAACAAGAAGGTCGCCGACGGGTATCTCCACGCGTCCACAATGCTCGCCTCCATTGAGCCCCTGATGCCCATGGTCGATGACTCGGGAAGCGGCGTGATTGACGACCAGTTCTACACCCTGCTCGCCGACAACACCCTTCCCAACCGGGTCCCAATCATGTTCACCACGGTCACCGACGAAGCCGGCCTCTACGTGGGCAGATTCGTCCCACAGCTTAGCGCAACCACCACAAACCTCAACATCCTCTTCGGCATCGCCTACCCCACAGACCTAGCCAAGTCCCTCGCCGTCTCCAACGCCTTCCCGCTCAGCCCATCCGACCCAGACACGGTCCGCAACGTCGGCGCCCAAGCTCTGACCTACAGCGAATGGACCTGCCCCCAAGCCCACCTTCTGGCCAACGGCGGCGCGACCGCCTTCCCAGCCCTTTACGAGGTCGAAATCACCCACGGCCACATCCAAACCAACGTCGGCGTCCCCGCCATCTGCTCCCCAAACAGCGACTACAACGCCACCTGCCACTCCGCCGACGTCCTCCCCGTCTGGGGCACCCTCAACAGCAAGTCCCGCAACGTAGACCCTTACTACGACACCACGGACCTCCTCCACTCGCAGCTCCTCGACGACGTCTTCGGCGCCTTCTTCCGAACCCGCAACCCTAACCCGGACCCGGAGATGCTCCGCGTCCGTGGGCCGGCCTACGCCGCGACGTACGAGATCTTCGGAAAGAACGGGTACTATATGCCTGCGTACCAGCCGGAGCAGCGCAATGTCAGCCTGCTCGACATGCCGCCTACCTGGACGCAGAACCCACAGGGCACGGAGAAGTGTAAGGTATTTGAGGAGTATGGGTTTACCTTCCAGCGGGCGTCTTTTGCTGCTTGAGGTGGAGAAGCGTTGTACATAAGCTACAGTTGACCGATTCTGTAAATTAATTCACCGCGTGTGTATCGCAGCAGACCAGCCCAGTAGTACGAATATACCTACGCAAATAGGAATAGGCATAATCAACCGGAACAGTAAATTGATCAGCACCTCTAACCTTACCATAACCAGCCTAACCTCTAACCTCATAACGTCACACTTATATAATGTGTCCAATCCTCACCCGTCGACCCAATCACACCGGTAGTAATAGAAAGAGCCATGAGATTAATCAGATTCTGTCGATATGCGCATGCAATGCAAATGCAGAGAGAAAGGGAACAGCCAAAACCCAAACCAGACGCCCGTTCCCCGTCCCGATAGCAAATGGTGAATAATGAGATGAGACAAGAAGATAAAAAGAGAGACATGACGTCGTTATTCATTATGTCGTGGTTCCATGCCGTGGATACAGCAGGACACTACCGGTCGTACATGGTAGATCTCCGCCCCGACGGGGACGGGTATTCCACGTCTACCATGGGGACAGGCACGCATCGCTTGCTACCCTGCGGCGGACTAGCCCAGCCCGGGACCCGGGATGGGCGTCCAGCATAGGAGCGGGTGCGCTCGATCCCGGCGGCGTGGGCGCCTGACGAGGCGTTTGAGGTCGGGTCGCGGTAGCTGTGCCGGCGGCCGTCGTCCAGGACGTAGGAGTCCAGGGGGTGGCTGTGGTGCGGACGGGGGACGTAGTTCTCGCTGATCCCGGTCACGTAGCGGGGATGGACGTGGGTGTAGAGGGGGACTTCCGGTGAGGGCGTGACGGGGGGTTGCTCGTGGAAGATGTGTTCGCGGAAACGGACGCCCGCGGAGCGGCTGGGAAGGGGTTCCTCGTTGTATGCTCGCGACTGGCGGGGTCTCCGCGCGCCGTCGGAGTCGTACAGCCGTCCTGTGTGTGCGGGATGGACGTCGCGGTGGGTATATCTTCGTGGGGAGTCTGGGGATCCGTCTCGTGTGGGTCTGCGGGCGTATGCTTCGTGCGAGTGGCGTCGAGCGTGGGAGGAGCGGGGCGGTGATAGGTTCCGGGAATGGCTGTGTCGGCCTGATTTCGGCGGCTGCCCGTGCGTCGGGGATCCTGAGTCTTCGGACGAGGCGTCTGATGTTTCTTGGCCGTGGTGGGGTTCTGTGCTCGTTGGATAGACGAAGGACTGCGGTCGTTCGCGGCCTCTCGCTTTTGTGGATTGTCTCGGTCGGATGGGCGGGGATGGCGCTCGGGGAGACGTGAATTCGGGCTCCTCCTCTGCGCGGGGGAAATAGGTGGATTTGACTCTTCGAGTGGCGGACGTAGGGAGCTCGCCACTACGCTGTCTGTTATGGCGACTCCTCCGGGGCGGATCGTCTGGCTCCGCATGTCGCCGGGGCTGTGGTGTTGCGGGCCGGTGACTCGAAGTGTGGTCCTCTTTCTCAGGCGATGCATCCTTCTGGCTGAATTGCGAGTGATATGTGCGAAAATTGGGCGGAGAGGCTCGCAAGACATTCTTCTTCCAGTAGTCGAATTCAAAACGCCGGCTCACTCCCTCATGCCACTCCACCATCTCCGGATCTGGTTCCGACGGGAAAGCGTCTCGGGGAATGGTCTTTGGAAAAGTTCCTCCGCTGGGATTCTCAATGTCCCACAGCTGAACGGCATTCTGTAAATAGCGGGCATGTTCATCAGGATCGAGGAGGAGCTGGATTGTCTGCCATCTCACAAAGCCGTTGGGTTGCAATGCTGGAATGGACGGAGGTTTGAAGGGGTCGTTCGAGGGCTGAATACTGTGGAAACACCCGAGACGCTGATAAATGAATGACAGGGCTGAGGACTTTGTTTCAAGAAAGAGCACGTCGTAGTTGCCTCCAACTTTGCGATAAAAGGCGGCCATTCGATCGGGGGTGAGGTCGGTGGTAGCGTATTCGTCAAAGGTGACCTGGAAGACATTAGCGAGCTGCATGATATCAATGAGGCAGCAACACAGATTGACCATCAACTGTGCAATCCCCAGACATAGCTGTTCGAGTAACGGAGCAGGACTCTTATCGGGGTTGATCAACGCTCTCCAGAAATTGGCGCCCGAGTCTGCATCTTGGGCGGAGGACATGACCGGGCGGTGATGATGGCCACGACGAGATGGTGACGGGCATCTGAACGCAGCAACAGCTTTTGTTCATCAATGGCCCAGGTTCAGATGGAAGGGGTATATGAGATGGAGCAAAGCTCAAGTACAGGCAACGCAGTCAGTGCGCAGAGAGATAGATAGGCAACAGCAGCGGTCAGGCACACATCTGCTCAGCTCCACTGCGGGGGTGGCCCAAAGGGATTTCGTTTGCTGACAAGAAGCCAACTCAATCCGCCTCATCTGCAATTAGACGCGCAGAATCATCGATGATTGATCGATGGGGAAGGATAGAAGATGGAACGCTGCACGATGCTGTTTTGGTCTTTTTTCTTGCCTTGGGAAGTAGGATTGTGGCCTGAACGCCTGACAACCTGACAGCCCCGCATGTGACATGACAGCCACGACTGCAGGCAGTGGTCTGGTGGTGTCGCATTGCATGAACTATCACCAGAGCAGTTTCGATGTATTAATTCTATCCAGGTATTACTTCTCATTATTGACCACTGATGGATGGTGATAAGATTGAGTTGGTTCTCGCTGATGGACCCATGGTCTGGCCCTTCCGCTGAGTATATCCTTGCTCCACTGCGTCCATCAAGCGGCATCAACAGGGCTAATCAGTAATCAATCAACATCAGCAGGGCAGTGCTAAGGACGATCAGCAAATTAGGGCTGAGTGATAAAGCAGTTTTCCAACACTGCTTATTCTGCAGGTACTCGATACCGGATTCCGGATTCTTGGTGGTGTTCCGCACATCAGCAAGTACTTCCAGCTTCTGCAGTCTCATTCCAGATTGCCCTTTTTTCAAGGTCTAGAAGAGTCCTCGATAAGCGTGGCCTGGCTTTCTCAGAACTACTGGCCTTATCTGCCTATCCAAGTTCAGGATACAAGAGCGCGAACCACGAAGTCAAGGAAGCTGTGATCATAACCCCCATGCTGATTCCCATCCTGCTAAGGATTGAAGCCAATCAGCTAATAAGCACCCACGAATACGATAATCTGCACAGAGGACACTGGCATACATTATTTGTCATTCTATGATTTTTTTTCCCGTTAAGCAGTACTTGATTTGGCCATCTTCATAAATACTCACTCTTCTCCTCCAGGACAGGCAAGGGCCCAAGATTGCAGGCTCTCCGGCACTGAACTATGTGGCTTTGGTGAGGCGCATTTTGGACCAGGCCCGACAATCTGCGGCCTTTGTTCATATTTTATTCATAGATCATGAGCTGAGCTCTAGGCTTTCTAACAGAAGATGTCTTCAAAGCTTCTCTATTCTTCTTTCATATCCATTCACTGTACGACTCGATCCGAGGAAGGCTTTTACAGACACACCGAACAACCTTGTACGACACTACGAGAGTCAAAAACGTGTATGTAACAGAAAGACAAGCAAGGCAAGCTGCACATGGAACTGTGTGATAACTCGAAAATCCGTTAGACGCGCATGCGAGACTTACCTTCCACAATTCTTCCTGGAGCAAAGAAGGACACTTACTTAAAACGCAGAGAAGAAATTGTTATGATTGGTGGGGATCCATAGCGCTGCCGTAGGGTGATTTGTGATTGGTTGGATATTGAGTAGTCCCTTTCCTTATAATGCGGGCGAGACCATTCCGCAGCGCTCTTGTGCCATTCCAAGAAAGTCCACTGGAATGCCAAATCAGGCACCGTGAATGGATGCATACTTTGCAATGCCCGTTCAAACTGGGATGGCATATTTGGATTTTCATGTCCGGATTCCTTGCAACTGCCTTGTTTTGTGTTTTGATTTTCCTCTTATTGTCCCCATCCCGTCCTGTATCAACCCTTTGTTGTTCTCTTCGTCTGTCTGTTCTAGTGTCCTCACATCATCGTACGCTTCTTCAATATTTCATCTTGACCGCTGCGCTCGAATCTTTCGGTTCCAGCCGACGGGGTAACTGGTTTACCCTCACCCCGTCGCGTCTTGTCATAGCTTCGCCAGCCCGAAGCGTTGAGCCCGTACACAACGCTTGGCAAGGTAGTCGAATATCAATGTCCGACTCGCAATAGGCATCTCGAATAATGGCGCTTGTGAGGGATCCGCTGTTCTGGAAGCGCTTTTCACGCGCGGTTCACCTGGATGAGGAAGCAAAAGCTGCAGCTCAAAACAAGAGCCCGGTCTACTCGTATGTCCCTTTTGCATCATTGTCTGTTGGTTTGCGTTGAGTCGCACTGACGAACCAAAGGGACAACTGGATCCAAGCACACTACCGAAAGAAACGACGAACGATAATATGTGGCTTCGTCATCTTCTTGGCCATTGTGAGTCTCGTCGCCGGTATCGTTGTGGTCATTATGTGGCTCAATGCCCATCACTGGCTACAAGACAATGGCCATAAGGAATCGAGAGGATGAGCAGGTCCAGTCGATGCGCAGTCTCAAGCCTGAAGATAAACCCTCCCCGGCGGCTACTCATTGATCGCAATCATATCGAAATGATCGCATCAACTCCACCTGCCGCAAAGCTCGACGCATACCGCCTGAGCAAAAGATTCAATATGCCAAGGGGGCGGGTAGTCTCCCATCGCAACCTTGAATCGGACTGAATGAGCCGGTCTCATGTACCATGCTTTGTATGGCGTTCAAGGTGCTGAATGAAGCGCGAATATCCAAGCATATAAAAAAGCATGTCAGCCTTGGTATTCTGGAGCTTGAATATTTGATCCTTCAATGTGTGAACAAACAGTGTCTGTCATAGATATATGCTTGTACCTAAATGTCAATGGAAATACACGCGACGACTTTCCTGTTCACCCATTCCATTGCCCCCAAACTTGGATAAAGCGTGTCTTTATGCCTGCATAGAAAGGGAGGAGTCGACCGGCAGTTCCGGTGACTCGACCTCGTATCTCGGAGCCTCTGGGGGTCTGCTGTACCTAAGAGTAACCTTATCTTCACTCTTAGCTTTCAATGACTTCTACGGGGTATCAAAACTGATAAGTTAGAGATACGTCGCGGTCTTTTGTCCGCTGGTTGACTCCATTCCGCCTGGACTTTCCTGATTGGGCCAGATACTCGGTTGTCGGCACTTTGTTTAAAGGTCACGTGCCCTCTCATGCTTCTATCGCATCGCCATTCTTTTGAACAAATCGCCAAGGGTGACGATGGTCAGACTCAAAATTGCCGGCAAAACGTTGTTAAGAACTCTACAAAGGGTCCTATGAGCCCATCATAGTCGTACAAAATCGTCCCTTGCGTTCTAGTTGTTGATATTGGACAGCGGACAGACCGAGCTTGGACGACGCGCGCTTATCAGCGGGTCTTATCTCTTCTCCGCACTTGTGCCCTTGCTTTCCCCGCAATAAATAGCAACGGCTGGCCCTCGCGCCATTTGTCTTCATATTCTCCTTCTCGCGCTTCGAGGCAGTTTTTCTTCAGTCTCGGTGCGAGTTGTAATATTCAATATGTTACCTCCATTTGACTACTTCACCTACCGCCGGGTCCGGTAAGTTTATCCACAATATCACCAACAATAGCACAGTCTAACTACTTATTAGGGACCTGAAGCAAAAGGAACGGGCGGCCCGTATCGCTTCTCTCTCACCAGACTACCACACTGCGTTCACAGCGACTGATAAGACTATCATCAACAAACCCATTGAAGAGCTCGTCGAGTCTGTCCACAATTCCTCCCTTTCGCCGACAGATGTTCTCCGCACGTACGGCAAGGTGGCCGTAAAGGCCCAGGAACGCACAAACTGCGTAACTGAGCTTCTGCTGCCCGAAGCAGAGACGTGGGTTCAGTCAGAGGTCAATCTCAAAGGCCCGCTGGCCGGGATACCCGTCTCCCTCAAGGATTCAGTGCAGGTCAAGGGTTTTGACACTTCCGTTGGGTATGCGCGGATGGCTGGGAAGCCTTGTGCCGAGGATGGGCCCATGGTGAAGTTGTTGAAGGATGCTGGTATGACTGCAAACTCATTCTTCTTAGTTGTGATTGTATCCTAACCTGATACAGGTGCTGTCCCGTACGCCAAGACTGCACTGCCGGTGACGCTTCTATCATTTGAGTCTTTCAATGGTCTCTGGGGTCGGTGTTTGAACCCGCATGTTCCCGAGTACTCCCCAGGTGGCTCAACCGGAGGAGAGGGTGCCCTGCTTGCTCTTGGTGGTCGTATCGGTATTGGGTCGGATGTTGCTGGATCGGTGCGAGTTCCTGCAGCCTGGAGCGGCATCTACTCCTTACGGTGCAGTACAGGCCGCTGGCCCAAGGCTGGTGTCAGCACCAGCATGGCGGGCCAGGAAGGAGTGGCCAGTGTCTTTAGCCCAATGGCTCGGACATTGAACGATCTCACCTACTTTACACGGGCGATCATCGGCATGCAACCATGGAAGTATGACAACACTGTCCATCCCATCGCTTGGCGGGACGCAGAGGAGAAGGAAGCGCAGACAAAAAAGCTGCGCATCGGACTGATGTCTACGGATGGTATGATTCGCATCATCCAAACTTATACAAAGCTGACTCTCCGCAGGAGTTGTCCCTCCCACTCCCGCCATCAACCGCGCCATCGCCACCACCGTCGCTGCGCTCACAGCAGCCGGCCACACAGTTTCCGAGATTACACCCCCGACATCGGCCGACCCCTTCAACGGTCTAACGCTTGCCTCTCAACTCCTCAACTCTGACGGCTGCACCACCTTCAACTCTCATCGCTACAGCTTCGAACCTTCCGACCCGGGCGCTGAACAACTGACCCGCATTGCTAACCTGCCCCGTCCCCTCCGCTACCTCTACTACCTCTACGTCCGCTACATCAAGCGCGATACCAAATGGGCCGCCCTCGTCCGCAGCTTTGAACACAAATCCGCAGCTGAACAGTGGAAGCTCGTCGCCCGCCGCGAGGCCTTCCGCGCCACCTGGCACGCCTGGTGGGACGCCGAGCCCCAGCAATACGACTTCATCCTGTGCCCTGTCAACGCTACCCCTGCTCTCCCCCACAAGGCTATGCGCGACGCCGTCTCCTCCTGCGGCTATACCTTCCTATGGAACCTGCTCGATTACTCTGCTGGTGTATTGCCGGTTTCGCACGTCGACGCAAAGAAGGATGCGCTCTGCGCGCCCTATAAAACCGTCCTGAAGCAACTTGGCGCAAATAATGCCATTGCCCGCGGGGCATGGAAGCACTACGACGCGGCGAAGATGGCGGGTCTCCCGACTGCGGTGCAGGTTGTTGGGAGACGGTGGCAGGAAGAGAAGGTTTTGGGGTATATGGCTGCTGTTGAGCAGGCGTTGGAGGGGTATTATGATGCGGCGAATGGAGAGGGGGAGAAGTACAAGCTGATCGAGATTGATTGATAGGCGAGAAGTTCTGGTTGTAGCTATTTTATATCCAATATATGCTCTAATTGAACTATAGGCATTCATCTTCAGGGTTACTGGCGGACTTTCTTCTGCGTTATTTCTCATGAAGATGAATCTTGGACAGACTCATCAATGGATAGTTGAAGTGAATGTATTTGCAGGCTTGTGGAGATGGTGGTTATGGTGGTGAATATAAGAGGTATAGGTTCTCTCCTGCCAGAGTATGTCTATCTAGGATGGAGTGAATGATACTATTCATAATCCACCCCTCCTACAAAGAATATCTGATGAGTGAATATCTATCTAAATTCCTTGTACCTTGCCCTTCTATCTGCAGTGAATATGACTATTCACTGAGCCTTGCTTTTCCTCATCTGAGTAGGACCCTCTCAGGGCGACTCATAGTCTCATGATACCCCCAACCACCTGGGGTCCATGTTCATATCCAGCAATCTATCTTCTACATCTTATGAGATACTTCAAAAACCGGGGTACAGACCAGAACAGGGCAAAAATTGCAATGACTGAACTTGAGCAGGTCGCCACAAGTACTCCCCCGTTTACTCTGATATTCAGAGCTATAGCAATGTCTACCCCTCTACACAATGCTGACCAAGCATGGTACGGTCAATGCCAGGCTGAATGGCGTGCCTCCGGGCTCCTGTTTGAAGACGAGGTCAGAATGATATGTCCCATCGCTTATACCGGTGAGGATATGCGGTTCCATCCGAAGAATGGCCGCTAATCGATCTGTCCTACAGACACCGTCCATGTTTACCCCGGAACATCGTCAAAGTCATTTATCCAGTTCCCGACGTCATGGGTACTTCAAATGACTGCCGGTTAGATGATTCAGGCTGTGGTCACCCCTAAACTGGTCGAATTCGTGGCAGTCTGGCACTGGCCACACTTTTGCAGTGTGTGATGGGAGGAAGACCCCAGGTTCTGGGAAACGGTCCCTGTTCTCAAGGACGATCACTATCGGACATCAAAATGCACCAATGAGGGCCGCTGGAGGGAGTTAGCTCAAGGCCTTACTCCGCGTTAACATCAATGATCCAGATGCCTTGAATACCACCAATTGGAGGGAATGGCTATATCCAATAATTCCCATACAAGCTTGCAAAGCTACTCGGCGAAGAGCCGCTTTGTAACGGCCAGGTGTTGATGAGACAGGTTACGCATTCGAAGATGATCCACGTTTGTTTCTATATTAATGAAACCGAGTTAGCTGGCACTATCAACCGACGAGAAGATGCACTGCAGGACGCACCGAAACCGCGGCCATGTACGAGTACAGGGCCCTTCAAGAAGTCCTGTGAATTAGCATCCGGCACCGAACGGACTCAGGCACATGCGCACTTTTGCTTGGGGAAACTGCTCAGCAGCTTCCTCTTAGATCTCCAGAGCCCAGACATTTAACCATCAGACTAACAAACATTAGAATAGAAAAGATGTCTACGGCGTCCACATGCCGCTGTTGTGGGGCCGTTTTCCCACCCAATCCTCGCCCAGTTGACGTCTACATCCATGTGGACAAACCAGACGAAGAGGGAAATGAAGGATATGAACTGAATGGGACGGTCAACTACCACCCCGCGGCCACGTACGAATGCAATTGCACAGGTCATGCCTATCTGCCGGTCCACCTGGGCCCCAAGAGCCTACCCACGTTGAGATTCAGGCTATTGTAGGCGATGTTCATTGGATTCCCGACATTCACGACCTGGTGCCTGTTCAGGATATTGAACATTTACATCTCTATCTGTGGTGCACATTTACAGGGCCTCTTAGTGGCACCTGCTTGCCAACACACCACTCATTCCTCATCTGATTACGGTCCTCATCCCGTATCACGGGCAGATGCACCTGTATTACAACCACTTTGGCTCTAACCACCGGCTCCAAGGCGTGCGTATCCATACTGTTAATGGCTTCCAAGGATGTGAATCGCCAGTGGTTAGTTTCAACACGGCTGCAATGTCCCGCCCCCGGTTTCTAGGTGATCCTAATTGGCTTAATGTTGGCCTCAGCCGGGCTGTATGTCATGGGAGGCTGGGCTCAACTTGAATGACCCAGTACTAAAAGTCCTGGAGAACTGCGCAAGATCACTTCCATTAGCCATGTTCTGCGTCATCTTCGCAAAGGCAGGCACCACACCCCGATACCTGATTCCTGGCAGCCTGTGATCCATGAAGTCCTGGATGGTCAGCTTATCACTAACCATACCAATACTGGTGACCCCACGACCTCTGTCTGCTAATATAACCACTAATAACACGGAAGACACTGCTAGTGGTCCAGACACAGTGGGTGATGCTCCCATCTGGAGCCAGTCTCTGAATACCCCTTCTGCTGCCGACGATGGATGGGGAGCAGTTCAGGAACAGTCTGAGCCTGCCGACTCTCTGTCATCTACTAGTTATGCGGTCTTTCCTCACACTTCTTTAACTTCCCACTAATGACGGAGCAATGGCTGATGCCAACTCGATTGTAGCCACTGTAGGCATTTGGTTGCCCATTATATGGGCCATACTGTGCTACATCTGGTTGACAAACAACTTTTCGCAATGGGTGTCTTTGACTGCATGAGAGAGGAAGTCGAATGTTGATTCTGTGGCGAGATCATCAACAACAAGTGGAGTGTCAATCAACCATCATCTAGCCATGGAGGCTATGAAGAGTGGCGAAAAGACTGGGCTGCTGCTCAGCCATTTTCCTTAGCAGGGTAAAGTGATCTGCGCGCGTTGCTATCATGATCAGACTAATCTGAATGGTGTAGTGCGTCTGCCGGCCTATTCAATATCTTCAGCAAATGTGGCTTGTCAGGCTACTGGGCTGTCATGGGCTCATGGTGGTTCTTTGCTGATCCCCCATTGACCGAACTGAACGTGAGGTCACAGTTTTGAGAGTTCCGAGATGATACGCCGCGGTCAATCTGCTGATCAATCAGCTTGAGTATAGGGTTGATAAAGATGATTCAACGCTGTGGACCATCTGCTCGTGGAGCTGGAATTATCAAAGGATGAGACTATTGGATGCATCAAAAACGCCATCCCTGACAGGTTATACAACCTTTTTCATTGGCGATCTTCAGGCCCCGGATACCAGACCCGTCTACCCACAGCAATGGATGCACCGCGATAGCGTGCTCCCAGCGTGGTTTGATCAACAGAAGACAAAGTACAAAAATGCGATACAGAAGATCAACAGTACGATTGCTGAAAAGCGAAAGACCCAAACAACCCTTGGTAAACGAACCCTCCACTATGTGGTGTCTGACTCCGAGGATGAGGAGAGACGATACTGTGTCCCAAGGCGACGTCAGATCTGATATCTGGCGGAGAGGACGAAGGCAAGCCTATTGTGGTTTCGATAGGGCTCATGAACCCACGAAGGAGACACGGCTAGAGGTTATGCGCTCTCAGGAAGAGGAGGACCTCACAATCACGGGTAATGCCGACTACTCTTTTTGGTATGGCGATCCAAGGGACATGAGCACAAACGAACCAGATGAGAGCATGACAATGGCGCGGTTGATCGAATCCTAGATAGGAAGCAAACCAATTGGTTTGACAAATTCGGTACGAGCATGCCTCGCCTCCATTTGGTCCACCGTCCAACCTCAAATCTTGAATTTCAATATCCTCTCCGCTAGGAAGCCTCAGCTGAGGTCCAAACATACTGCCACGACAGTACCCGGCGGAATACCCCCAAGCTGCCTGGTATTACCCCGTGGAGGTTTCAGAGGTCGATATCCGCAGGCAGCATGGTCAAAATAATGCCAGGTAGGGATCACAAGGTCACTATAGGCGTCTTTACTCTTTCGTGAGATAGTCAATGACAGGCTGGCCGCTATGCGGTTAAGCGCAGGTAAGATTCTACTCATACTGAGGAAATTCTTGTTACTGATGCATATAATAAAGGGCTTATGCATACTATGCATTGTCAGCTTGGAAAGAAGAACTGTGTGGTGTATGGCCATGCCACAGACAGCCACAGTAATTCTACAGAATAAGTGAGTTGCTTGGCCCATAGCAAGTAATTTCTTGACTAATAAGTGATAGATCTCTGAGTAGTGCGCGACATGGACAAGCCAACCTTTGAAGATCTTTTCATACACTGTTACACCTTCTGCGCAGTGTATGAACTTACACCCACCACATCCAGAATAATGCTATCCCATAGATTCTCTGTGAAAAGCGTACTTGCCGTTTACGGTCCCAGACAGATGGGTGGTAGACTCCCAACTACAGATTGCTATCAACCGAGCAGTCAGGTGAAGAATCTGCAGCGGAGTCGACAGTTGTGTCGCACGCAGCGCGTGCCCAGCTCACTACGGGTGAGATCAGGACATCCAGCCAGGTTTTTATTCGGCGTCAGTTTGAAGAGGCAGACGCTGCCTTAGAAGAGTTTCGTAATAAGATAAAGGCATGTGCAACGACGAAGGAGGGATATGAACTCTGCCGTGAACTCGTCCAGCAGGTGATGCTTCACAAAGAAGTGGTGGATGCCAAAGTAGCAATGATCTGGGAGGCAGTCGGAGGAGTCAAGCGGTTCATTGACCACTTCTTAACCTTTATAACTTCATCTACTCGCGACACTCACTGCACTCACTGCACACCAAGCGGACATGGCGAACAGAGCTCCTCGACAACACACGGGAAGAGCCTGGCTTAACTATGCGAGCGCACTTGGACAGCAGCGATGCCGCACAATTATCAATGAGAGCGCAGAAATGCCCAAGAAGATGGGTATACTGGGTGCTGGTTCTTCCAGGGATGGACCAATGACGACGGTTATGGACAGTCTCGAGGACATTATCAGACCAGATGATGTCAATAGTCCGGAAAATGCCATGACGATGTTCTCTCCACTTCACATAGAGTTTGGCAGTCTCGACTTTGCACTCCAACCAACGGTACGTGTTTCACCAAATCATAGAATTATGATATGCTTACTTGACCAGGTTGAAGAGAACACCTATAGGATCAAGACATACCGAGGGTTCGCGAATTTCTTATTCGATTACCTGCCTTCCCCAATGAAGATGATATTGGCCTTGGTCCAAACCTGCCACCTTATTTCAGTAACCAAGTCCATCTTTCCTGGGGGAGTGTGTCCTTACCCCCCATTGCCAGAATCGACGAGACTGCGCGTTCCTACTTTGGAAATGCAATTACCAAAGTCGACAAGATGATCGCAGAGTTTGAAAAGCCCTAAATACGGAGTCGCAAGGCGAGCCAGGGAAAGAAGCGGCTTTTCTTTGAGATTTCGGACTGCCGTTCAACCTTCAAAGACTGGGCAGCAGAGCGCCACGCTTCCTTCAATTCGATATCTTCTTCAAGAAACTCAGTGAAGCAAGGACCCTGGTTTAGGGTTCAATGGTTTAGATGGCGTTGAACTAGGATATACGAAAGGAGATAGAGTACATAATTATACATAGCCAAGATTTAAACAAACATTTTATAACATGTTCACTGAAACTCTGTATCAGTATCAATGTCCTCTAAATTAGACGGGAACTTCCTGTTGGCATCAAGAATTGGATAGAGGGGTCAATGTTCAGTGATCGATGCGGTCACTCTCCTCAGTAGTAGATATCTATCAGTGGTAGAACTACTCTCATGGACTATGTCTAGAGCATTAACGTCATGTAAACATTGATTCTGCGACATATTCATCATTCGTCTCATAATAAGCTTACTATACCCATATCTCCCCATTCAACTGATCCGTCGGCCTCGACCGCAACCGCGCCGCGAAATCCCCAGCCTTCATCGCACACCGTTTCGCCTCTTCCCGGAAACCCTGCACCCCTCCCATCAGGAGAACGTCATGCGGCGCCTGCGCCTCAATAAAGAACTCCACGCGGAACCCATTCTGCGCAACCTTGCGAAACTTCCGCACGAGCTTCTCGTTCTCCGCGAAGAGCACTTCACACCCGCCAGTAACCACAAGGACAGGACACGGCAGGACAAACGGGTGCCGGACAGGCGCTACGTAGCGCTCCGTGGACGGGCTGAGCTCGACATCCCGCAGAAACAGTCGCGCTGCCCATGAGGCTAGGGAGGCGGGGATGTAATCCGTGCGGTAGTTGGGGTTACTGGCCCATACGCGCTCGTTCGTCGCAGCGGGGAGATTGCACCACGGCGAGAAGAGCCAGGCGCATTTGGGGGCGGGGAGGAGAGACGGGTCGTCTAGCTCGGCGACGTAGCGCAGGAGGGCTAGGGCGAGGTGGGCGCCTGCGCTGTCGCCGCTGAGGACGATGCGGGAGGCGGGGATGCGCAGTGTGTGGATGAGGTAGGAGTATGCGGTTATGGCGTCCTGAAGCGGGGCCGGGAAGCGGCCGCCTGGGTTGCATGATAGGCGGTATTGGGGACAGAAGACGTGGCTGGACGGCGTGTTGGAGAGGAGAGTGGATGCGAGGAAGGCGCACGAGGATGAGCGGCCGTCACCTATGATGTATCCCCCGCCGTGGAAGTGAAGAACGATCATTCGGCCTTCGGAGGGGGAAGAACGGCCAAAATGACTGTTGGATGGGGGGTATGGTGTCGGATACCACGTCCCGCCTATTGATTCGGGTGCGATCTCCTTGTCGACAGCGACACCCTTGTAAAGGCCGCGCTTGGCAGGGTGCATGACCACGAACCGACCTCCCTCTCTAAGCGGCTCCAGTGATAAAGGAGACTTCATCTGGATGGCACTGACTGTGCGAAGGTAGATCTTGATGAGGGTGTTCGCAAGTGCCTGGCGATAGGACCACTCATGGTTTTGACGAAGCTGCGGGTGCAGATAATATACGGCCCAGAACGGCAAGTGAAGAATAGCGAATATGAGTATGAGGAGGATATGAATCAGACTCCAGGATGCGTTCTGCGACGTTGACATTTTCTGATGATGATCTTTCCTGTAAATCACTCTTAGCGACGACTCGAGTCGCAATGTGCTGATCCTGGATTATATATCTATATCGCATGTCAGCCATAGATGAAGGCTGTCCAGGATTAGCAGGCAACCTCATTTATCGCTTTTTGATTGATCAGAAGCACCATCGTATCAGTCTGTCATCGGAGATTTCCCGTGCAAGATGACTCGCTCTTGTCCATTGTCTACGTCCGTCGCGATCGATTCGGCAATCGAGATCGCCGTTTCATCCCGTTGAGAGAGAATCTAGACCACGTCCAAGTTCCAACAACTTAAGTCCCTGAAGATTCTCTCGCAAGCCAACGACGACCACGATTTCATCACCACTGCACATTCCGCAAGAAACCACGGATAGTCAGCTTCTATTCGACGAATTCTCCATCTCAGTTCCCAGTCTCGGAGTTAATGCAATCGCCGGTCACGGGTTTCCGCAGAAAGACAGAGAGATAGTCCTCCGTATGGAGACGCAGTTCATTGCGAATGAGTGAAGTGTTGCTTATCAACTCGATTGCTTCATCAGACTCGAGATTCTCCTATCATCTAGATACCATTTCGCATCCTATTCCGCACACGTTCAATCGGCCGACACCTCGGTTTGACTACAATTGTCGATCGCATCGCGCCCCTATCCACGATATCCCATTCCCGCCGCCGATTTGCCCCCTCATAATCGCAGGTAGTTGCGCGATCGGCGCTCCGACCCTCCCTCCTTTTTTTCTACAAGCAAAATAAACTGTGCAGAAACTCGACATTGTTCGCAATCCAAGCCGCAGGATGCGGTCATTGCCATCCGCGCTGCAATATCATCACGACCGTAAGGCTTGACGGGTGATGGGACACGGTGGTGGCGATGCCTTTGAAAGGTGCTAAAGGGGGCACAAAGGATTCAATTCACTTTGTCAATGCCCGCCCAACCTCGGAAAATGAGAAGCTGAGGATACAGCGCCTGGTGAGGGCGCATGTGGGAAAATGGATTTCCGACCAGACCAAGGACCGTTCGGCGGCAACAGATTCTTCGGACTCGAACCCGAATCGCGAGAAACCCAGTGATCCAGCGTCGCAGATCGTCGAAATAGATACTGACGAAACATTATTCCCTTCATCCTCGTCGCCGTCTGTCGGGTCTTCACGCGAGTCACCCGAGTCTACCATCTCTCGCAGCCTGTCCCTCTCCATCCGTTCCGCTTCTCATGTCCCCCTCCCAGCGGTAGCCTCCTCTCACAACCAAGAACCGGCGCAAGACGACACTGAAAGTCATTGCGATTACAATCCGTGTCGATTGGTGGTGGATGCTGTGAATCAGGAAAGTACTTGTTCTCCGGCCCAAGAAAATATCCCTTTTGCTGGGTCCATCAAGGCCATGGGCGGTGACGTCTTCGATCCTTTTCACACCTACCCGTCGCATTATACTCCCGAAGCCATTAATGCTTGTGAAAGATACTGTTAGTACCCTTGATATATCCTTGAACTCGGAACGCTGACGATTTTGCAGGCATAGACGTTCTCTGGCCCAACCTGACTCCCCCAACTCCCGGAGAACGCGGCATTTCCGCCATTAAAAGCTGGCTTCCTCTTTCATTGTCCGATCCGATTTTGTTTACTGCCTTTTTGTTTGGTTCACTATCACACCGGCGTTGTCAATGGATCAACGGCCACATTCCGGACGGGGCATTTCGGCCTCGCGATCAGCGACTCCTGCAGCAGTGTGAATATGAAACCATCAGCCTGGTCAACAAGGCTTTTAGTGATCCTGATCGCAATCGAATTCTTGGCGATTCTATCATACTGAGTGTCATATGCATGGCTCACAATATCGCCGATGACAACGATCGCCGAAGGAATCGAAACATCCCATTCACACCCCCCTTAACGCGGCTACAATGGCTCGACGTCTATGCAAGCTTGCCACCAAACCTTGTCCACTTGCGGGGCTTGATCGAGCTGATCAACTTACGGGGTGGCTTGAAAAATATCACGCTGCCGGGGGTAGCCACTACCGTATCCTTGTAGGCACCTCTCTGTTCCACTTACTGACTTTGAGCTAACCCGACACATCAGCTCCGCGATTCTGACTGCAAGCTATCTGCTTTCGAAGCCTTTATTTGAATACATACCGCTCCATGCGCCACGACAAGGCCTCAATTTGCAAGAGCTACTAGGATATACCTCTCTTGACGTGCAGCTCGGATTTGGCCGGTTGCGTCAGATCGGCTTTACCCCGGAGATGGCGGATGTCTTTCAAGCTCTACGGGTCTACACGAACATCGTCATCGAACACATGAAGGAGTCCCAGCCAAACCCGGATCTTTCTCTTATCTGTGACCAGCGCAATCTGGTTCAGTACCACCTCCTCAGTCTCCCCTCTGCCAGCGACCTCGCCAGCTGCTTCCCCTCCCGACATCATGAAACCGTCTATGAAGCCTGTCGTCTAGCTGCTCTCATCTACGCCGTCGGTGTCACCTTCCCTCTCCCATCCCAGTGCACGCCTCTTCCTCGTCTTGCAAAGCTCGTCCACGAGGCTCTGCAGACCCCCGACGCGCCCTTCATCTGGGCGCATTCCCAAGCCCGAGTCGCCCTCCTCTGGATCCTGACGCTCGGTGGCATCGCGGCTGAGAACCTCCCAGAACGGGAGTGGTTCGTACACACCCTGCGGCAAGCTGCTTCGAATCATGGGATATGTCGCTGGCCTGATTTGAAGGCTGTGCTTGAGTTCATGCTCTGGTATGACGCTGCCTGCGATCAACCGGGGCAAATCCTGTGGCGTGAAGTCGAGAGGACGTTTGTGAGTCCTTGATGTTGTCTTCGTTCGGCTTTATTTCGTAGCGGTGGCGGTGGCGTTCGGCTTGCTTGGGTTTGGGTTTATATCTCTTGGACAATTGATCTACTAGGTTTATCGGTGTTGGGTATGATTTACGATGCTCATGACTTTAGGCGCAGAGGGCAAAAGGCAGTGGGATGTATTCGTATTCTGTTCATAGGCATAAGTAATATACATACCAATCTACAAAAATCGTCAAAATGTACTCCGTACCATCATCATCATACGCCAGTAAAGTCCAGGTAATGCATTAATGCAAAAGGTTCGGGATCGATCACGGTGCGCTCGAAATCCCATACGACGACGCCTCCCCATGCCGCCCCAAATGCTGCGGGCCATGACGCAGCAGCGGTTCCCGCTCCCAATCCCTCGTCGCCACGCCCGTGTAATCCACAGCATCTGACCGACATCGACTGCCCCGCTCACTCTGCGCCATCGCGCTCTCCGCCCTACCAGCCGCAGACGCAGCCATCCGCTTCGCCTTCCACCAGACGAACCCCGCCAACGCGGCGCCAACCACACCCGTCAGCACCGTCAGCACGAGATTAACCGGCACCGGATTACGGCCGAAAAGCTTAAAGGTCAGCGCGTCGAGCCCTGCCTGGAGGAAATTGCCTAGGCCGGCTAGACAGATGATCAGCCCGTAGACCTTGCCGAAGGTCTGGAAGCCGAAGACCCGGGCCGCGTAGTCGGAGACAGCGGTGTAGTAGAAGGGTCTGTAGATGACGAAGAGGGCGATGTTGGCGTAGCCGGCGGGGAGGCTGTGGGGGATGCAGCCTAGGATGCCGATGAGGGTGGCGGTGGATGCGAGGAGGAGGAGGACGTGGGGGGTTGCCAGGGTGTCGAGGATGGTTCCGATGAAGGGGACGGAGAGGAGGCCGCCGAGGGGGAGGAGGATGTCGAAGACGCTGTTTAGGTGTTTGGAGAGGGCTGGGGAGAGGAGGTAGTCGTATTGTGCGCGGATGGAGGCGACGAAGTAGTTGATGCGGAGCATCTGGAGGATCGTGAAGATGGTGATGAGCACGAACCAGGGTGTGGTGATTTGTTGGAGAGCGGAGCGGCCGTGGAGAGCGCCCCAGACGCCGCCGGCGGTGGTGTTGTGGGGTGGGGTTTTGCCGACGATGCGGTCTTGGGGTTCGTTCTGAGGAGGGTGAGTGGTTCGAGAGGGTTCATCGAGAACGGGGGCGGCGTCGGTGTTGCTGTCGCCTAAGAGATCTTGGATCTTGCTGACGACTTCTTGGCGGTGCACGCGGCGGTCGTTGCGCTGGCGCTCGCCTTCGGAGCGATTGGTGAGGTGCTCGTCGACGCGGTCGTTGGCTTCGTCAGCGATGTAGGCTTCTGCTTGTTGGACTAGCTCGCCGGCTGTTTTGTAGGATGTGGCTGGCATGATGAGAAGTTGCGCGGCGAGGATGAAGGCGGGAACGATGAGATAAACCATGAAGAACTTGTGGGTGGTGAATGATCCATTGGTGCGCTCGTTGATGAGTCGGAAGACTAGAAACAAGGCGCTGGACGCATCAAATGCACCTGTGAGCGTGGATAGGATCAACCCAGAGCGAGTGGGGAATGTGTTGGACAGGTGGAATGACGAGATGAAGATGAAGGGGCCTCCGAGCGACAGAAAAAGGTATCCAGGAATGTATGCATCAAAGGGGAGATTGGCAGCGAAACTGAAGAGCAAAGCGCCCAAAGTGAGACATATGCTGCCAATGATACCACAGACGCGAGGACCGTATGTGTCGAGGATAGTGCCAACTGGCAAGGCGGATACGTTGGTCGCCACGGCGGCAACGGTGAACATGAGATTCAGGCTGTTTCGCGTCAGCTTGGTCAATAGACAGAGATCATGATGCATACCGCAGCTCCTGTCCGTAGCAGACTTCCTGATTTTTAGAGAGCTCGTCGCGCGAACACAGATTGCGATAGACCCCTTCCCGAATCAAGACAGGTTTCAATGCCGCAAACCCGAACACAACTCCTGCTGCGAGGAAGCAATAGATGACTGCGATAATTACCTGGCCTAGGTATCTCGTCAGTTTTTCTCAAATCCTGATAAATAAAGGTTCAGATAGCTTCATACAGATTCGTCTCGTGGTACCGACTTCGAACGCTCCAGTGGTTTGCAATGGATAGGCTTCATCCGGCAATTTTGAGGGCGTATCCTGTGGATCATGTCCGCCATTCTCATTCTCATCCGGCTGTTTCAGCTTGGGGATCATCATAGGAGTCTCATGACGGGAAGTGAGCTCTTCATGGGCGCCTTCTCCGGGAGGCTGGTTCCAACCGGGTCCAGCATACGGATTGAAATTTAGACGATAGCTGTACGTTGACTGAAACGAAGATGAAAGTGATTCCTCCGGGAGGTCGAGATGGCGCCCGTCCTCAGAGTCAGAATCGCCATCTTCTTGGCCCTGATGCTGACGCGACAATGGCCGAGTTTGACCCCACGATTCAAGATATGAGACTCGATTTAGAGACATAGCTGCACAATACAGATGAGAGGTTGAACAAATGCAGAGGTTTGAGATGGCATACCGATGGCCTTGATTAGATGGGCTGGTTCAATTTAACGCATCCCTGCAGAACTGTAACTTGAAAATTATGGCTCCAAAAGCTTCATGGAATGGGCTGCGGCGTAGACCTCAGTAGCTTGGAGACCGATTCAGGGTGATAATAGATTTTCCAACATTGCCGGCTGGGGGAGATAACCTATATATATGCTGCTTCCAAGATAAGGCTCAATTGATGTATGAGACTAGATAATGGTGATAGATGGCGACTTGACGATGGGTGATTAACACGCAGTAGACTACCCAAGGTACAGTAAGGTACTAAAAGGTAAGGTGTACCCAGTGACGTCGCTGATAAAACAGGGCATGGTCACCTGATTCCGCGCTCTGCTTTCCCCGCTCCAAGTATCAAACAATTCTCCATCATCCATGATATGATTCTCACATTTCTCACATTTCTCACAACAATCATGATAATCTCCTCTAGCTTATCTTCTAATCTGATTGACTAAACCAGAAGATAGAAAACATCGCTCCAGCGGCCAGCCAGTCATTAAGGTCTCGGTCCGAAGCCAGAAATCTCCTCAGTGGGTCGGTGGGCCCTCCCATCAGATATCCGGTGTCCCCATCGCTTTACCTTGACGCAGCCCTTCAATAATTGGGCAATTTATGCCTCGACCTAGAGAGGTATACAAGTTAGCCGCGTCTTTGGCGTCATTTTGATGATGTCTTTCCGATTCATCGCCGATACACCCTTGTTAGAAGTCGCTTTGGCCTTCTATTACTTTACACATCGAGTAATAGCATCTGCTTCGAGCCGTGAGCCGACAGATTCCTGAGGACCCTTGTGGTATTAGCTCACCTCACCATGAAGTATAAATCTACCTATGCTAGAAGCACTTTATGATCTGCTTAAGAAGGGCAGGTTAGCCACCATGTGGTGTGATACTAATTCAAGCGTCCTGGTTTAGTCGTGGCCTAATGTTATTATATACTACTAGCATATTCTTAACGCCATGCACAGCAGGTACAATGCATTCTCTAAGACCAGGGCAGATTTAATGACTTCTGCGATGCACCCTCCAAACATTCCATATTGCTCAGGGCGCTAATCTAGTGCCGTTGAAGTTCGTGACTGTCGTGTCGACTGTTGACAGATAGACTGAGATGCTGCTTTGATCCGTGAGAATAGTGGAGGCGTCTTGCACGGCCAAGGGCTGGCAGAGACGCCGACAGAGGGCAGATAGATGAGGAGCTGTTAAGCAATCATGATGGCCAACTGAAGACACTTGGTCATGTCCAGGGTTCGCCTGTTCGGATGCAGGAAGAGAGGAATTGATCGAATTTCTGAGATGAGGCATTTGAACTCTCTTTATATTTATCAGGTCAGGGCTGGCTGCACGAAAAGCTTCCATACTCGCTCATCCCTCTGTATGTACCCATCGTCAATAGCAATTCAAGCGGCCCGTCGCAGGATCACAGAGAAGATCTTTGGAATGTGGATATATAGCCGTAAAGTGTCACCAAATCAATCACATGCAAAATCACCTTCCGTTATAAATGTAACTATCTCAGCCTGGGTTCGTTGGAGGACAGACCAATCAATCAAAAGCAGTAGCGATGGAGGCAGGCAGCATCCAGGGTGTGAAAAGTGGACAAATAGCTCTTCCTCCATCTCTTGATATCACTAGCCTCAGGTAATCCCTGCAGGCTAGTCTACAATACCCATATAAGCTGTTTTGCTGGCTCAGCTGCGCTTGGAGTCACATTCATCAGCTCAATAAATCCATTGTCGGACCACTGCCGTAGGCAGACATATATATCAAATAGAATACAGCCGGGCAACCCCGAAAGATTCTTCCAGACATCTTTTCTTACACTGAATAATACGCTTCAACCTGGCTATCAGTTGGATTTGGAGGCCTCGCAGAACTGGAAGAGATGCGGGAGGCTCAGCCTACCTCGGAGAAGCGCAGCGAGACCGACAATGGTTCTTCACGAGAGTTCGAGGTGATAAGGCCAGTCATCGTAACCTGGAGGCTGACCATAATCCTTCCTTCTCTGGTAAGATAAATAGGCGATATTATGGGTGTTCGAGGATGCTGAACAAAAGATACACCAGCATCGCCGTCGGTTTGTTCCTGTCGCTGATGGATACGACCATCCTTTCCACGATGCTCTATACCATCTCAGATGAATTTGGAGGATTCCAAACGTCGTCTTGGATTGTCCTCGCCTATACCCTCTCTTATTTCGGTAAGGCTATAGTTCCTCTGCTCTGCCGCGGCAAGAAGGCTTATTGGTTCCCTGATTTCCTCCTTGTATAGGCTGCGCTGTATTCATCGCCCGAGTATCCGATGTGATTGGCAGGAAAATCACCCTCTTCGCCTGCTTTCTCATCTTCCTTGCCGCGTCAATGGCGTATGCAGCTTCCAAGAATCTCAAGCAACTGATCGGTTTTAGAGCTGCCCAGGATGTTGGTGGGTCCGGACTGTATGCCATGGCGATGATAATTTATCCAGAGATCAGTCCGCCAGTGCCCTGCCCGTCATCTCATCCGTTGTCGGAGTCATCGTGGCGTTGGCGGGTATCAGCGGACCCCTCATAGGTGGGCATTTGATCACTTATACCTCCTGGCGATGGGCATTCTGGATTAAGTGAGCTGTTTCTGGCCCCCTCCAACAGGAACTAGGGATGACTGATCATCGATCGGCCGCGTCCCTTGTGCCTGTATACCGGCAGTTGCCCTATTATTCGTCCGGCCGAGCAGTTTCTATGCTGTGAAGAATGCCTATTTTAAGCACCTCGACTACCTTGGGACGCTGCTGATCATGCTCGGCAGCGTTCTGTTGGTGTTCATTCTTAATCAAGCGGCCATCCGGGTCTATGCGCGGAAGAGTGCTCCCGTCATCGTAATCCTTGTGATTTCTGGTCTTGCATGGATAACATTGGTCTGCTGGCAGTGGATCGTGTCGTGGCATGCCAAACTCCGGCACCTTCGTCCTCAGTTGCCGTTCCGACTTCTGACTGATAGAGTCATGGTGGCGGGATTCCTGTAAGCTCGCGGTGCGCGTCGGGATAAGAGACCTCAACTGATCCCTATGCGGCCAGGAGCACCCTGCTGACAGGATTCGTCATGCTTCTCGTCATCGTCAACATCCCGCTCCGCGCAACTTGTCAACCTCAAGGACGCGATCGGGCCCGGGGTTTTGCTTTTGCCTCTAATGAAGCACCGCAGTCGGCTCGGGATTGGGGGGTGCCGCCTCGGCGAAAAGGAACAATACCTTCTGCACTTTGAACCTGGCGAGCGTTTTCATGCTCATCGGCAGTGCCGTTTTGTCCACACTTCCTGATTCCGTGGATCCTGTCCCGAAGCAATATGGATTGGAGGCGATCGTGGGCTTCGGCCTGGGACTGAGTCTATCCACAATGACCTTCCTCACGTCCATGCAAGTCGAGTTTGAGGACCACGGTGAGTTACAGATGCAGTTTCCAATATTTCAATGCACTTTCGTTCGAGACTAACATGCTCCACAGCCATTGCGCCGGCAGTCGTTGCACAGCTGCGGATCTTCAGCAGCAGCATCGGCACCACAGTCAGTTTCATCATCTTCAACCACAAGATTCAGGAGGCGCTCACGGGTGTGTTGACTCCTGCGCAGCTGAATGACTTTTACGATCGCCAACTGCTGTCTTCAGTTTCTCGGTGACCCAGCATTCGCTTGTTAGGCAGCGGCTGCAGACGAGAGGTAAAAGACAGTCATGCGTAGTGGAATGGAGTGCTTGGCTCCAGTAGCAATGTGTAATGCTTGTTTGGGACTCAGACGGGAGGCACAAGGCCACGTTGATATGCTGCCCTTTCCTTTTTTCTTACGGGCAGATTTAAAGATCGAGGCTGTCTTTGCAATTCACCCCTTGCTTACGTGATGCTTGGAACCACTCATGCCTATCCATCAACCCTTTTTACAAAAAGTATGACAGGTGGCACTACTAGTTCCCACGTCATCTTCTAGCCCAGACTTGTCAGAGTGTAATATTGAGTGTAATTGTCAGTTATATACGCGTTAGGCTTCGAGCAGGGGATACTGAAGGCACCAAGCAGAGAAAGACCGTAAAACGAACCGGTGTGGTTGATGGAGACTGTTCAGACCTCATGGTTTAGGTGGTCGAAGCGGACTTCATTGGGTGATATTGGTCCCTAAGCCTACAGCGAAGCAAGTCCTCCTTTGCTCAGCTTCGCTGCTTGATATGCTTCATGATATCGACGTCAAAATGCAAGCCAACCATGGAGCCAGGCGCAGCTTATCCTGAAGACAAGAACTGGTGAAGCAGCTGCTCATAATGGGCCCGATCAAAAGATGCCCAGTTTAGCTAAGAGTGTGAACTCCGCTAACGCGCATCCATCACCAATTTCGCTCGCTGGGTCGCAGATTTGCTTCTTCTTCACCATCCCGACTTATTTGGGCGAAAGCAACGGAAAACAGATCCATGGTTTGAAGCCTCAAAAGGGATACCTAGCGTTCATGTCGTATGGCACTGTGGAAACTTGGCCCTGTTCTTTAGAGGACAATCTCACTATAGCGGCATAGCCAAAGTCAGCCGCAAAAGAACACTAAATGCAGAATTAATTGATCGATAATCTTGCTGGAGCTCCTCATATTTTCAGAGGCCTATAAACTGTAGATTTTCATTATACATTTTTTAAAGTACAAAATGGAAGCGGACCTCACAAACAGTCGACTGATCAGGATAAAAGCACAGCGGGCCAAGCCGAAGGTCATGCTTTCCCTCAAGAAAAGTGGAATATCACGTGGGTGCCATGTGACTCCACGATGGTTGCAGGCCCCATTGCCTTTATCATCACTACATCACAACATCCTGGGAATTTGTAATTAACCTCTTGCCTGGTAAGGCCACAACTTATGGTTCTGCCAATCTGATTAGCGTCTAGTCTGGCTAAAAATGCAGCCTCGATTCGAGACACAAAACAATATGATGAAACCATAAGACGCACGGGACTCAGCACGTTGCTATCCAACCTCCTCCTTCCTCTCGCCCGGCCATCTGAGACATTGGTGGCGGATAGGCTGTTTCGGAATCGTCACAGAGTCAACTTCTACTTAACTCATTGCCAAATCGCTTTTTCTCTGTGAATTGAGTCGAGGGGCATTCAACGACATCTCGAGGATGGGAGATCCAGTACCTATCGCTCTTCAGTCACGTGAGATTCGTTCATCACATAAACATCCTCTGTATAGGTGTGTTTGTCAAGCCCATCACATGAAGGCTCGGTCATTCCTGACGTAGATGTGGCTTGAAGGGTTTAAGTCTGTTGAGCGTGTCAATCTCACCGGCTTACTGACGGACGAAATTAAGCTATCGGTAGTAAGGGAGGTTTTTGCCGAATAGAAGCTGAACTCATCTCGTCTTGAAGGGTCGTTTACTCGTTTTAGCCTTAAGGTGTGCCCGTCCGGAACAATATGCCAATCGTGAACCCCCACGACTAGCGGCTTTGATGTACATCGGTAGAGTCCAGATCAGAGGATATTGGCACTAGGTTCTATTTTCACGAAGACAGTGGGGCCGCAGATACTACCTCAATGGCAAACCAAGGTTCCTTGTGGAGAGTTAGCGATGATAGTCTACTCGGCCGACCAAAGGGGTCCCCCCTGAAGTTGAAGGATAGAGTAACCATACGGAGGCTCGGAAAGAGTGGTTTATCACAAGTACCGGGATTCTTCTTCGCTTACTTTGAGCCTAATTTCACCGTTGGGGAGGATGGGAATCATCCTCCTATTAGGCCTGGGAGGATTTTCTCGTTCCGGCAGTGATCAGAGGCGGTCATGTCAATCCTTATGCGCTTGTCGGAGGGAACGCCATCGGCTCTGCAGCGCTCCAATCCTGCCTTGAAGCTTGAGTACGTCGCTATTCCGCTTGGAGAAGGAGACCGCCGGCCTGCAGCAGTCTGGACGTCCTTTCCTGGACTCCATCACACACTCCGTACTGCGATCCTGGATCGATGTGGTAGTGAAGTCCTTTGACCTAACAACATCCCTGTGCCTGGCTTTGCAGAACTATGGATGACAGCCATGCTTCCTCGTTTCCTTAAATCGGCATCACTTGCTAGGCCAAGTTCTTGTGTGTTGCAATTTTCTCTCTCCTTCGGCGTTGACCCGCAGAGTATCTTGGTCCGCTCTGATCCGCTTTGCACAAACCACACACCAGTCAGGCTTTATTCGACCATTCAACAGCATCATCACTTGTTGTCGCTAGGGTGGCCAGTGTTTAGCCGCGTATTAGTGCTTCGCTCTTCTTTCTCGCATCTTTTCCCTCCCTTCTCAATCTTACTTTCTTCTCCGCGCCTTTCTCACCTCACAGATCGGTCCAGACACCCGGTTGATGTTTTCATCTCATCCATGGCTGTTATAGTTGCCTGTCGATGACCATCCTGAGACCACGTGATGAGGGGATGGTCAGTTAATGTTCCTTATTTCGTGTCTCTTGGTGTCTTTTGCTTCTCAGTCGCAGTAATTTTCCTGGCCGTCGCTAACGTGTTGCGATGTCTCTTGAAGTCTCACTTGTCGCCAGCGCCATCTGAAATGTAATATATCACTGTTACTCTTGAACTGAACGACTAGTCTAAGTGGCCTGATCTAGATATCTGACAACGAACTTTAGGTGATAAAACTGGTACGGAATGTTTGCGCTGTCAGCGATCAGGGCGGAAGTGTGTTCCAGCACCAACGAAGCCGGAGGAGGTCACTTTCCGACACGGTCAGAACCCATCTCTAAGGCCAAAAGGTCCCCCTCGCTATGGAGAGAGTGACTTGACTTTCCCCGATGACCAGGTTTGGGTCAAGACTCCCCCAGAAGGTAGGTCCAACCGAAGCTGTCATGGTTCTCAGTTTTGGGACCGAGAAATGGGCCAGCACTGACACTGATGGGGGTTTCTTATAAATATTCAGTCGATTTCGAAGACGAGACCGACCGCACGGCTGCTGATTATCATGTTATTCCGGTAGAAACGCCAACATCCTTTCTGGAGGCGCTGCCTGAAGGTCGATCATCATCTTCTGGCGCAGCATTCCCTTCGTCAGCGATCGTCAACGCTGTGAATCCTTCTCCTTCTCCAAATATTCCACACAGGTCGGGAATTGCAGAACAATTTACGCCCAATGTGACCGATTCTCTTCTACCCCCAGATGCTCTGGTCAGCCGTCAGAAACTGGCCAGTTTCAATGAAGCCTTCCTTCTACGACATTTCCGAAATTCCTTGGGTGCATGGGTACTGTCTTATTCTCTCAATTTGGTGAGCCATCTGGCTAACTACAGTTCTCTAGCTGGACGTGAGCGACCATGAAATGCATTTCTCTGTAGACGTGGTGGAACGGGCACCCTCCTGTCCACTCCTTCTCTACGCGTGTTTGGCGATAGCGGCTCGTCACCTCTCCCACACGAAGAACTCGGTACCTCCGAATATCGCAGATGAATATCACGAAAAGTGTATCGCGATCCTTCTTCCAGCGCTAGAGAACAGAAACTTCAGCATCAGTATCGAGGTTGTCCTCGCTTCGACTGTGATATTGCGCTTCTTTGAGCAGATTTCTTGTGCGTGCGAGGGATAAACGAGAAATTACATGGACCGAATTACTAATGCATTTGCACGCCTTTACAGCTCACGCTCCCTCCAACGATCAGCAGCGACACCTCCTAGCCGGATCAGTTTATTTCAGCTCTCAGGTCGACTGTGCAATCTCTGGAGGCCTCGCGGAGGCATCTTTTTGGGTCTTTGTTATGCAGGATATTCAGTTTGCGCTTTCGCACCAGAACCCCCTACGGCTGACGCTCAGCCCCTTTGAACAAAGCCTTTGCCAAATGTGGGAGAGCAAGAACTCACTGGCTGAGCGAGATTGGACGCACCGGGCTACCTGGCTTCTAGCTGAAACCATCAATTTCTGCTATGGCGCGAATCACCAAATGCGCTTAGACACAGTCGATGGTGACGAATTGAAAAGAAAGATCCGAACGTGGGAGTTAGAGAAGCCAGAAACTTTCCAACCATTACATTTCTCTCATGCCGACCCGCAAAACCACAGGCCGTTTCCCGTGATTTGGTATACGACGCCTTTACATGGTAAGCCCAGGACTTGTCAACTTCATCAGGACTCGACGTTCCGAGCTGACTTTTATAACGTGAGCGCAGCTACCGCGATACAGCATATCTGTATGGCCAAGGCTCTGCTGTTGGAGCATGAACTACACCAGACGCATACTGGCAACGCAGAACATATCGCGAGGAGGATCAAGGTCTGTCTATAACAAGTTGCCTATTTATCCACGATTGCTGAAACTCAGCAGGATGATATCATGACGAATCTCGGTATTCTCTTCGGTATTGCCCTCTCAACCGATGATGACCCGTCAGTACGCATCATGGCCTGCCACGCCCTCTGTGCCTGTAAGTCTTCTCAGCAGACAACGTTCGGAAAGGTTTCGGGCCGTCACGAGATACTAAGTTCTTTTTTTCAGGCGGTTCATGGATCCTCGATCCTCTGGCACAAAATTGCCTCCTTGCTCTGCTTCGCAAAACAGAGGCAGAAAACGGTTGGCCGTGGGCATTCGAGGTGCAAAAGCTCAGCCACGACTGGGGCTTCACCGCAACATGACGAGCGATGTCTGGTCGGACTTTGCCCGTCCACATCTTCATACTCGGTACTCGATCGACATAAACAGGTCGCTCGATTTCCCGCCCAACGCGAAAGTATCACTTACGCGTCCAAAGTAGCCTCTCTCCTCCCCGATCTCGAAACTAAAATCTTAGTACCTGCAAAATCTCTTTCAGTCTCGCCGTCTCGGCGTACCTCCTGCAAGGCTTCATGGGCTGACTGGACTGGGATCCACATGATCTACGCAATGCGCCGTCCGCAACAGCAATTCGATGCACCGCGTCTCGGCCGCAGCAGCATTTCCTCACGAGGATCGAATGATAAGAATGGCCCCATATCAAGTGGGGCCACTTTCTAACTCTTCTGGGAACTGGGTCGCTCCCGTGTGGGGCTTTTGTGTGGTGCTTCTTCACCGTGTTCAAACTTCATACTGCTGAAAATACACAAAAATAAGAGAACGAGGAAGATTCATATACACTAGTCGGCAAGAGTAAGGAGGAAAAATGCCCTGGATATAGCTGGCCTGAGATATAAACAAAAGCGAACAAATCTTCATGCCTACACGGAGTATCCTCGAAAGAACAATAACCAAGAACAGGGGGATATCTAGAAACCTGTTCCATTCCTTTTTATCCGAATAGTCACTGTAAAACCTCAAGATCAATAATACCCCATTCCCCCATCAGTCGGTAATGGAAGGTTCAACAGCCCATCGGTCAGCAAGTGCTCCAGCGCGAATATATTCCCCGAGTCGAACCCAACCTGCATCCCTAACTCGGGTACGAAGAATCCCTGGTTCATCGGAGGCATCATCATATTGCCCCCGTCAGGGTAAGACGACATATCCTGGTAATTCGAGTTGAAAGGCGAGTAGAACTGGCGCGTTTGGGCTTGCTGTTGGGCTTGGGTTGTTGCGGATGAAAGGGGGACGGATGGGTACTGGGTCCAAGGGTCTGAGTCGGTAGTGGTACTAGACGGAACGGTTTGGGCGGTCAAATCGGAGGTTGGTGTCTGGCTGATAGGTTCTGCTGAGGATTGGGAGGCGTAGCTTGGACGGTGGTGGTTTGTAGCGGAGCGGCTGTTGGGGTCTTTCATGGCGACTTCGCTGAGGAGTTGCAGGGGGGTTTGACCCTGTTCGAGATATTAGTTTTCCTTCTTATAGCGAGTTGTGTTTAGGAGGAAGGTTACGGTGGCAGATCGTACCGACTGGGGTTTGTCTCCTTCCTGGGCCTCTGAGAAATCCACCGGGGTACAAGCGACTGGACCTGCCCCAAATGCTTCTCTCAGTGCTCGATTGTGGTCTTTGCGCTTGACAAACCAACTTCGAAGCATGGCAAGGACGACAGAGAATTTGCCCGGTGTTCGGCCGCCAGGAAGCTCTCCTGCTGCGGCGTAGTGGTCAATCACTTCGTTGAGGTAGTATTCAACCTTGAGACTGGAGGGATCGATGACCTGTCCAATTTGGCTCCCGGGAGATGAGACAATGGAATATAGCTTGATGAGGGAGACTGCAGCAAATGATGCTCTTGCCAGGCAGACAGTCGGCAAGGAGATCAGGTCCTTGATATCGACGGAACAAATGGTGTCCAGCACTTGATGAATGGACGTCAAACAGACGCTGAGCGCATGCATATGAGCTGCGTTGGTATAATCTTCCCCTGTTTTCTTCCGGTCGTCACCGGTCTCCATCAACATGGAGTTTTCATAGATGTAGAGATTCACAATGTACTCTGACTGTTTCATGATAGCTGGACTTTAGTCAACTAGTGTGCTTGAGGCGCTGCGCAGCCACTTAACTTACGATTATAAATTTCTGGTGGAGTCTCCCTCTTCCACTGTTCCAGTTGCTTTTCAAACACCTTCACCGTGTATTGAACCTTCGGATCTGTGAAGGGCACATTCGAGACGGCATCATCGGAGGACAACTGAAAGTTGATATCCTCAGTCATGCGCGCAAGTTTCGCCCACTGTATCACTGCTTTATCTGAAGGCAAGGCGTCAGGAGACTTTTCCAGAATCGCCACGCATTCGTCCATATATGGCTGCCATCGGACAAGCAGGACACGCCTTAAGGATACAGCCACTCTACCAGAAAGTCAGCAACAGCACTAAGATGATGTCCTCGACGGACAGACTTACTGGACAGCCATGAAATAACAAGCAAGCCACGTCCGTCGCGTCTCAGGAGAATCAGGGTTCATTGAAGGCGGCTTCTTCATAGCCATTTCCTTGAACATAGGCAAAGGCTTGTTTCGAGTCAACAATCTCCTATTCATCCCCAGATCCATCGCCACAGTAACGGCCATGTGAGTCAATTGGTAGAATTTGAGCTGCTCAAATTGATCAGGTGGAGTGTACCAGTGGCAGGAGACTACCAAAGCCTGCACCAGCTCAAGGGACTTTTCACCCTTGACCACTATTCGCTCTGCGATAGTCTTGTAGAAATCTTCCAGCAGCGCAAGATGAGCATCGGGCTGTATAGCGCCGACAGAGACAGCGATAATAGCGTGAAGGAGCACCGGCTTGGACTTTCGAACATCGCTCATCGTCGTGCCGGGAGGGAAAACCACAAATGGCATTTGTGGCCCCATGTGAGTCACGAATCTATTGAAAGCCTCCAAAGCTACCGGGAGGCTGACGAGTCCTCGGTCGATCACATCGACAAACTCAGAAGTCCCTGCGTCCGGTCTGCTTCCAGACTCAGAGCTCGACCACGGACCACGCCATTGTCTCGAGGGCGCGTTCTCCCTCGTTTGCTCCTTGAGGGGGCTAGACACGCGAGGGTACACTGCTGTAGGCCCGGGATCCCTCGAGTCCTTGACCTCCCCACTGGAATGCCGTTTGCTGCCCGCCAGATCTACAGGAGGACTCAGATACGTCGGCCCATTCGGCGCAGTCTGTCCGCCTCCAAGCCACCGTCTCCCCTGATGTTCCTCCCGCGGTTCACCCGTAGGCCTCGTCTGCAGTAGCAGCTCGTGGCCCTGCGACGCCTGCAGACTCGCCGTCAACGCATCGATTTTCCTCTCCAGCTCCGCAACCCGACTGTCCGTCTTCTTCTGGCGCTTGCGAGTCGGTGCCGTCACGACACACGTCCTCCCGGCTTTGGCACACCGTTTGCACGATCCGTTCGGATTGCTCGGGTCCGGCTCGCATCGGACTTTGAGCTGTCTGCATGCCTCGCAAGCGCGCGGCCGCTTCGGATCCCCGTACGGATCATTGGGATCCGTCGACTCGGTTCCGGGCACCGGCCCGCTGGGGTAATACCCATGAGGCGAGGTCGATTGCGTATTCGATGCAGCGTAGTGGCTGTGGCTACCTGAGGCGGAGGACGCGGAGTGTACCTGTTCGCTCGGGGAAAAGTGGGACGACGGCGGGTCGGGGTAGTCGCCGGCGGGATGCGTCGTCGAGGGAGCGGTGGTAGCAGTGCTCTCTACTTGTCTTGACGCAGTAGATGGAACGTATGAGTGGCCGGTCTGCGCTCCTTCCGGGCCGTTCTTATCACGGCCGACACGTAGACGCGGATCGATGTCCATTGCTTGCGGGGCTGCGAGTGCAAGCAAGTGCCGACTCTGCAGATGCACATAGCGTTGTCAGTAGGTAGCTCTGCATCGTTGCGTCGGAAATGATGCGTGCAAATTCAGAGCCTTCCAGCCAAAGGTGAGCAAAGAGATATTATCTCGGCTTACCTGGGATGTTTCCAATCGGCTAAATGATATCTGCAATCGGAGTGTCAAGTCAAGCTCCCTTGCAGGCAGTCGGGAAAACGGTCAGTCGGGCCACCGATGACCGATCAGTGGAGATTGTCGGGAGATGGAGATCACCAGCCTTTTGCAGCATCAATCTAAGCATTTGCTCCGAGCTTAGAGCAGCTAAATAAATGACAAAACAGAGATGGCGTTGTTTGATGGGAAACCCCCTGTAAAGGATGTTAGTTTGACGGTTGTTGGATGGAGCAGGTCTGCCCAAGCTACCTTAATCAGAAGCTGATTTGTCACGCATCGGGACTCATACATAATCCTTTGTTTCATCCACATTTTATTTACTCTGTAGTTCAAGATCATCACTGTGTCTTCCACAAATCAGCTTATCTGCTAATTTGACCAGACAGTGACAAGGAATAATATTTCATACATATCGAGTGCTCCAATTTTTGAGGGGAATCTGACGGCTGACTGACGACCAGAGACGTATTCAACTACATCGGAAATCACACATACAGGGGTACAATCATCTGAAAATGAATCGCTGTTCTCGCCAATACTTCATAGGGATATATGAGTGGAGGAAGCTCGACAAAGAATCAGTAGAACCATAAACGCCATAGCCCGAATCATCCGACTTCAACATAGCAACACTCGACGCAAAAGCCAACCCTGACATGTCAACACAGGAAACGCTAGCTCTATGAAACTTGGAAACGACAATATCCACCAGATGGACACGCTGCTGAGTATAAAAAATCGTAAGATAACCGCTGTCAACGCCATACCAGAGAGCATCGACTCCAAAACGGTGCGAGACTGGAAAATTCGTAAACATGAGAAAGTTGTGTGGAGGTAGATTCCGTGGCAGATTTATCGGATCTTCAGGTCACCTTGTGCACAGGGCACTCCTTCTTGCGCTCAAACCATTCTACAATGCACCTCTTGTGAAACTTGCATAGGCACTCCAAGCGTACCAGCGGCTGGCCGACCTCGTAGTCTTCCATACAGATCGTGCATTCTTGCACGGCGCCGTCCTGTCCCAGACAATCCTTCTCCGTAGCAGTAAATGCAAGCATGCGCACCGGGACAGGAGACGCGCCTACTGGACTGCCGCCTCGAGACGCTGACCGCGCGCCGTGGCCATGGCCCTCAATGCAATCACGAATATGTGCTTCCCGGGCATCCTCGTTACCATTCTCGCCCAGCGGTGGCAGTTCGTCGTTACATATGGGACAAATATCGCTCTCGTCCACATGACGACGGGATGGACGGGAGACGCGCCGGTGGAATTCCTGCTCATCACTAGTTGTACTGAAGAATCCCCCGGTAGACACACTAGTCCCTTCAGGTGCCAGAGGGGGTAGAGGGCGGTGTGACGGAAAGTAGCCTAGGTAAGGACGCGCCGATGAACTATGTCGGTTAGAATACTGCGAACTGGACAATGATCCATATCGCGTAGGTCTCTCTTGTAGGCTGGAACCAAACACGCCGCCTAGAGCACTGCCCAAGCTTGTGTAATCATTCGAGCTTATCGACCGCCGATTCAATCGTGAAGAAGACTCCGTCTAGAAAGGCGAGATCTTGTCAGCATTTACCACTCGACTTTTCGAGTTGACAAAAAAACTTACAAATGCATCATAAGGAAACTGTCTCGTAGATGTCGACATGGAGTGATAAGACCGGTGTCGAGCTTGGGTCGGTGGACCCCTGCCCCAGTTCGTCCCTTGCTCGCCACCTCCTCGCACCGCAGTGTACCCCCGAAGCGGTTCCGGATTCGGGTCTGGCACACACGGGTTGCAGAGTCGTACCTCCTCGCCACCGCCGAGAGCTGGGTTGATCGCGGCCGGTGGTGGCGCTGTATCGTCCCCATCCAGATTGATGACCTGTGCTGCCCGCGCGGGGATCAAAGTCGATGCAGGCGAGCGATTCGGCTCCGGAGGGCGGACGATAAACTGCCTCGGTATCGTGATTCGATGAGGAGAACAAGACGCACAAACAACCCGTCCACACTTCCGACAGTGATGCTTCCTGTACCAGAAACTGAACGGTGTTCCGCATATAGGGCAGTTCGTAACCTCCGAATCAGGTTGCCATCGCGGCCGTATATACTCCATATATCCATTGGCGCCCTGCGACCAGGAAGTTCGGTGCGTATTGTCCGGTCTTTCAGATAACGGCTGCGGCGGCGAAGAGGATAGGTCGATAGGCGTGGCGAACGAGGAACCAGGAACTGCAGGGGTCGCTACTGCGTGGGATGATGCCCCCTGGATAGACCTGCTATCCACTGCTATTCGGCTACTCGATCCTGCTTCCATCATCCCATGGGACCCTGCGCGATGCGGCCACCCATCCCCCTCGAAATTGACCAGCCTTCTCTTCCGGTCTGACCCGGAGAGAGTTGACCGTCGCCGTTCCGACCGTTTATCAGAGCCAGCACCAGCACTAGATATCCTCAAACTTTCTGAGCTAGCATGAGGCCTGGGGACAGCGCCGGGAGGGCCAGGCACGGAGAATGAGGCGGGAGGAGCCGCGGATGTAGAAGAAGCGGAGGAAGCGGGACTCGACGACGACGACATGAATCTTGGAAACGTCGAGGAAGAGGACTTCAAAGCTGAACTCCCTGCAGTTGAAGAGGAGACCAGTCTCCGCCGTTTGGACGACGGGCCGTCATCGACTGCGTGGCGAGGAAATTCCAGGATGGGTGCGGGGAGCTGTGCGATATCTGACGATGCGGATTGGTATAGAGATAGTAGGCTGGTTGCGTTACCTCCAAATTGTCGTGTATATTCGAGACTTGAGGAGAGGGATTAAGGACGTAGCGCAACTAAGAAGGACAGATTCGTTATCTCTGCGAAGCGAGGAGGGTGCGAGAACCGATGGTGCCCGGACCTTAAATGAAGACCGATTATCAAGGGTCTCGTGACAGTAAGCCAGCAACCGCGAGACAACAGACAGAACAATAACAATAACACCAAGATTGAGTGGACCATCAGACAAAAGATTTCAAGGTCATCTGTAACAACAATCAGAAATAGAAAAAGGGCGCACGAAGCACAGAACTAGAAGAAAAAGACTCAGTGCGGAAGACAACGCGGACGTGCCTGATCACTCCAACCCGAAGATTCGCCGCGGGGCTCCTTGCAAGCTTACAAAAGGCGGCGACTGGGAGGTTGCCACATTCGCATACATGCTTGATCTCAATACTGCTAAGGACTTATTATGATGCGATCATGTCAAATACCTCACAGTCGAAATCGCATGGGATTAAGGATGATCAACGAGAATGATTGTTGCTCTCATCCAGGTGTTGGTGTCAGCAGATACTCGTTGTGGCGATAGGAGAATGTTGTGTTTGTTTAGGTAGAGTTGTAGCGTGACATACCACTTCATGTCTTCAGGTTTACGATCCGAGTCAAACGACAACACTGATGACAGTGGTCAAGGAGCATGTGAAGGCATCAGGACCGATATACAAGTAGACTCAGAAGCATCTTGTTGCCATTCAGTATAGTTAAAATAAACTATTGCCTAGGATTTCATACAGGAAAATAAAAGCCCCAAATGTACAATCGTGTGGGCCCTCTGTTGCACCGGGCTGCCATAAATCACAAACAAAAGTCTTGGAACAAAATTAGATTGATCTAACAAGATGCCTTGCAGCTTCGTCGTATGTCGAGGCCACCGTCAAAGAAGCCGGAAAAAAAGATCGAATTTCGCTAAATGCCGTAGTCCTCAAGGCGATGCGCAAAAACAAATAAGAAATCCGGTTGTATATCACAAACGCCAATACGTATTATTTTTAGAGTGGAAGAAGAGACGCGGAAAGGATAAGTAGAAAGGAGATTCGTGAGTCGGACGGTGAAGATGAGTGACATTAACAAAGACGACTTAATGCACTCCTCCGTGCTGAGGAGCTTCGTCCACTAATTCAGCCGCACTTCCTGTGAAGGTGGGCTCGTCCGGGCTAGCCTGGTGAATATAATCCGAAGTTCGGTGCTGAGCAACATAACCCACGCTCGACGGACGTTCAGATTTACCGCTGCCGTCATGACCGACTCGGCGACTGGATGACGTCGACGCAGTCGTGGACGCAATTGATACATTCCGATCCTGAGAAGGCGAGCTGTTGGCGCTGAATGGCAGGCGACCAGCACCGGACGAGGGCTGAAGTTGACCTGTCGGAAAGCGCGTAGTGTCGTGCTGAAGTTCAGGTGTTGTAACTCCCGTCGAGATAACTTCCTCGACCACGGGTAGGGACTGACATTGATCGTCCTTCTCTAGATCCGATGCATTGACAGAATCCCGCCGTGCCACGGAGGGTGCTTGCGAGCTACGCCGCGACCCCAGCCGGCTAGGGAGCTCGATAGCACCACCAATGTCAAGTTGCGGTAAGGTGATGGAAGGCTGCTCAGTCGGTGGATTGACGTCTTCTTCCGAGTCAGATTCCTCCACATCGTTCTCTGTAGGCTGGCGTTCATGATCATGGGATGCCTGCTCCTCGGGCTCATCCCTGTACGGCTCATTGAAATTATCTCCCTCGGGAAAGAGGCCAGGAGGCGGTGCTCTGGTGCTGCGGACAACTTCAAACCCCTTGCCTTTCTCCTTTGTTTTTCCCCTGAAGAGGTTTCGGAAAAAGCCTGTAGCGGAGGAAACCGGGCCCGTGGGATCTGCGGGGCCGGTCTTCAACTTTCTTGTCCCAGATTGGGAAAGTGGAGGGCCTCGCACTCGGTAATAGAAGTCTACTTCACGAACGGCATAGTCCTTTCGGGACGGTCTTGAATCGTCGTAGTCAAGATCTTCCTTGGGTGCCGGAAGATACGCAGGCACAGGAGTACCCCTTCCGGAAATTGAGGGACCCTCGATGAGATCGTCGTCCATATCGCCCAGATTGCCCGACCTTGAAACTGTGCGTGAGACTGCCCTGCCCTTTTCGAAAGACGCGCCTCTTTCGTTATTTCTACGGGGCCGAGGGGGTCTATAATAGGGGTCATGTGGCTGCGCGGCGTAGATGAGACCGCTTTTGGGCGAGTTGCTTCCTGTCGTTTGGTAGCCAGCACCCTGGAAACCCCCAAGGGTGGTAGGAGTATACAACCCACTACTGTTGGCACGACTATGCGTTCCACCATGTGCACTTCCTGATTCGAAAATTCCACTGGCCCTGCCGTCGCTTGCGGTTGCTCTGTTCAAGAGCAGCGCAGAGCTGTTTGAAAGGCTCCTTGGTCTTGAGCCATCGAATTGCGCGGACATCCGATCATCCGTGTGCGCAAGCATGACAGCATCGGAGGCCATGCTTTGACGTGTCCCTGCAGCATCGCGCCTCGGTAGGCGCCGCGAGAGTTGGCGCATGCCGAATACCTTGACGAGTCCTCCGCGAGTGGCACCACCTTCGTAACCGCCAGCGCCAGCGAGACGAGCTATCACTTCAATCAAAGTCTGTAGTGCGTTTAGGAAGAATCCAAAGACAAGGACCAAAGCGTGGAGTAAGAGTATGATGTATCCAATCCACCCGCGCGCCGCCTGCGATACTCCAAGAGAAGGGACGAACACGACGCTGAGAAGTATCGTGAGAAATCTCACGATGGCGAAACAGGCATGATAAAGGTTCATGGATGTGGGATGTGGAAATGGTCGGAAGGCCACGAGGGTGAGAACATATACAACTTCACAGATAGCGAGGAGAACTATTTGGGCTATGCCGGATGGTTGGAGAGCGCCAATTGCAACACCACGCGCAAAAGTGATGAAGATTGTTACAGCCGCGAATGCTGCCGCATCGTCACAGCAGGTATTGTAGAGAGGTCCATACAATAACACTGTCGGTAGATCGTCGAAAAGGTGTGACTTGGGGCGCGTGCTCACGATCAATCTGACTGTCCAGATGGAAAATGCCAATAATGCGAGAATAACCACCACGGCGAGCGCCACAGAGTATGCTGGAGAGTCGCCAGCAATCACCAGCTGGAAGAAGGATAATGACACCACGGGGAGGAACAGAAAGTTGAAAACTATCCGAACCACATTCCCCACAGTGAACGGCATGTTCTTCGAACGGAGATCCTCTTCCGGGATATTCGCTAGTTCGTGGTGAAGCCAACGGAAAGCAAATGCAAGCTGAATCAAAACGGTGACTATGCCCAGGATCACGACCAACCAGATGATCATCCCGGGCCAGATGTCACTTGCTGTGGCCATTCCGACATACTGATCCAATCTCTCAAGCCCATAGGTAGCGTTGACGGCATAAACCCCATCAACTACAGGATCTCGCCCGTGACCTGGATGGACAAAGCTCTGGTTGAACATAAGAGTAGACCAGGCGACTTGGCTGACCACTGGCTGATAGTATCCAGGGTAATTCAATGAGAGCGCCCCCGTCAAAACCGCGAACTGTATATACTGCAGGCAGTCCCCGAAGCCCGGTGTCACAAGTCGCAGAACATCCTCATCCCGGCCATAATTGCTTGTCCAGTGGAAGAAATTCGTCGTGCCCCACGGGCTGTACATTGCCGCAGATATTGTTGCGATCCCAACCAGCACAAGGATGACCAGGGGGACGTAGGCTAGAGCATTCTTCAAAGATGTTCCAAGGTCCGGCGTGATGTCCACGGTTATACATCCGAGCGCAGTAGCTGCTGCGTCGCCCGATTTGATTTTGAAAGATGACGAGAGGGTGGAAAAGCGGTAGGCCGATTGCATGTCGTGCTGGACCGAGAAAGCGCGCAGCGCGGACAAGTCAGACCTGTAGTCAAAATCATTCAGTCAGTTAGAACAGAACGCGCAGGGAAAAGAAGAGGTGTGATGCGTCGAGGCGCTCAAGAAGGGGGGCCAGACTCACGCATTTGCGTAAAAGACCGGTCCCAAAGGGCAAGGCCCTCCTTGGGTAACGGCATCGCAGAATCTGGAGGCATCGCTATATGGGGAGAAGCTGACTACGTCCACATTGGTTAGAAGAGTACTATATTTGTTGTTGGCGGTGTTGAGATCAACGATCTTCCCGACAGTATCGTTGGGATTCGACCATCGGGGATCATCGGGAGATGGATAGGAAGACGACCGATCGGCAGTCCCAGACACATTGCCATATACAGTGATGTTGAGAGTATAAAGAGGGTCCTCCAGGTTGAAAACGACGGACACATCTAACGGGACAAACTGCAACTGTAAAGGATCCGACTCAATGATGGACGCATCTAAACAATTTTCGAAGTTAAGTAACGCAGCGCAAGCCGGCGATACGAGTGTCCATAACAGTATCATCAACAGACCCGCAATGCCATGATCTGCAGATCCCACAATGTGCCATCGCCGCTGTCGTCGAGATGTTCCCAGTATCCGTTTCTGAAAAGGACGGCCTCGACCTGTCGAGAAGTTGTCTGCGCGTTGATGAGACATAAACATAGGACTCCGGGTGCCATGCCAGTCCGCATCGTTATCTGCACACATCACGACCAGCTCGTGCAATTGGGATGACCTCCTTGGGGAGGTCAGCCCCCTCGTCCGCGATTCAATCCACGATGTCGAAGCAGTACCCGATCGCGCCTGGGATGATATATGCCCACCGACTGAGTCCTCGCGAAAGACTCCTTTGAGATCAGTCAAGGTGGAAAAGCGATATGGCGCAGGGAATAAGGCAATCGATGGCCGGTAACAATCCAAAAGAGCCAATAAGCGTCATCCAGCGATGGGTGGTGAGGTGCCTAGAGCTGGGACACTTCGCTTTCTCCCCGGTCTGGGTACTGTCAAATCTCGTTCGTTGTTTAGGGGATGTCGACCGTGGCTTTGGAGGGGATAGCGCGGGGACGGAGAGGGGAGGAGACGAAAAAGTTCGAACAGGCGAAAACGCAAACACGGAGAGTATCGGCTATAGACAAGACAAGAGGAAGCGATTGACAAGAAACATGAAAAAAAAAAAAAAAAAGTTGGAATGCGAGCACCAGCTCTGGGTACTGGGTAAGTGCAGGTCCAGCGGCCAGCCTATGGGGACGTATGGGCGGCTTGCTGCGCCATGTTTGCTGACTTTGTTGCTTGGGGGTGGATCGTAAGTAAGAGGTGGCTTTCTAAACTTGGAAACAGAGACACCCACCGTCACGCCGACCAGGTAAGAAGAGTTCGGAGTCTCGGAGAGAGCTTTGGCTAATAACCACATACTCTGACACACAACATAAGTAGGTAGGATAGAAGAGAGAGGAGGCCTGCGGGCAACAATTCTGGCACTTCCAACACCAATGATAACAATGGCTATTATTGAGTCGCATATGCGCTTGACACCACCTGCTTAATTTTGATATTCTACTGGACAACAGCTACTGAAACTGTCTCAGCCGCGTCTCTGCTTTAACATCATCATTACCATACCATTATCAAAGCATATTCATAATGAAACTTTCTCCAGCTAAATTATTAGGAGTCTTCTAGAATTATATCAGTGTAGCACGGCAAAGATAGATGCTTCTGAACTCAGTACTCCGTATGTGAAATTTGATCAAGGAATATCTATTGCTAACAACGCACGTCAAATAGATTTTTGGCTTTTCAGATCCGCGTCTCTTGTACCGTGTCGCACATAGTACTTTGGTCCTTCTTTATCACCAACTCTAGTGTTTGCAGACCGCAGCAATGAGGATTCTCAACATCAAGCTCACATCGTGTATTGTTATGATTGAATTACTATCCGTTTTGGTGCTTTTTTTCCTTGTGGGATGTGTGCGATTTTAGAGGACACCCGAATACTCCATTTGAGTAGGCACACCACCATCAACGAGCATCTCCAGTGGTACAGCAGATTCTCGGCTGAAGAAGTCTTCCGTATCCATGCAATCCAGCTGGACGGTGCCCATTTAGAGTCCAGAAATACTTATTGTTCGATCCCCTACTTGAAGAGGGTTTGCGAAGGGATCGTCTTGCAACTGCCACTCCTTGCATCCACAGGTTGTACCATAGGTATATTTAGACATCGATACAGTTGCGTAAGGAGCAATGACGGTATCTTTTGTCCTGGATGATATCATGATCAAAGGAGCACCTATGGTCTCCTGAAAGGCTGATCGCTTGGATGAGACACACACGATGACCGCCGGTTCTTGAATAATTCTTCAACCCACTTAAGCTCAGTATGAAACCTCTTGAGTGCATTCAGCCAGCCATGCTAAGGAAATCATAGACCTGGTCTCCGCCAAATACTCATATGTGGAGCCCAAGAAGGTGTATGCCGTATGGTCTACCACGCCATTATCGTTGGGGAAGCTCATGCATGGTATGGTAATCTGCCGGAGGAACTCGAAGGCGTACTTGACAGTGGATTTCCTCCTTTCCTCGCAGGTTGAATGAGAATGGCCCGCGGTTCATGAAGATGTAGATTGACGTCGCCTATGACGCGTACAAACCTTCAGGTGGTCATAAACAAACAGCAAACCCACAAATGCGGTCAACTGCCAACTTTTCCATGTGAAGGATTGCTGTATATTATAATATCGATATGTTCTGATCATACCTTCTTGACTGAAGTCTCGAAATTTCTCCTCCTGGGAGATTTTGTGATGAACAGGAGGCAGCTCGAAGGAGAGATCCTGGAAAGACCACGGCAACAGATCAAGTAGTGGCTTCGAAGTCAGCAAACTCTTCTTTCACGGTTTGGACGAGCTGTGATATCAGGCTGTTGACTCTCATTCTTCGAGGAAATGGTCGCAGCTCCAACATATGAGCAAAGGCATAAGCCGATGCTGTCCCTGTGCCAATTCACCTATTAAATCCCCAAATTTCCATGATTTAGGTCCGAGCTCAATTGTCTTGTTGGCCTAGAGATCTGCCCTTGGAGGCGGATATATATACCGCAATGGCCAGGAAATTCTGTAGAAAACGGGACTATTTCCCCTTCGATGATAAGGACATATTGCAGGGATATAATATGTTCAAAGGATGAGCTGTACCAAATCACGGTACCCCAGTGGATAAAAAGTGTTTAAAATATACTCAAGGAGAATGGCGATCCTTACAAATATTCCCCAATTTCTCGTTCTCGACCACTAGATAATTATTATCTAACTAAAAGACAATGACCACTCGTTGGGTTATCCAGATTCAAGCGTATTGAACACTGCTTATGGCGGGAGGGGCTACTATGTGTACCGGAAAGGACGAAAAAGGAGAACCGAGCCCGAGATATGAATCTTGGCTGACCGTAATTGGGCGTATTAAGGGCGAAATTAGGTATTATTGCATTAAGCCTGAGGCTTGTGGTTTGACATGCTCAATTCTCCTCAGAACAATGTGTTGAATGTTGAGAACCTGACTACCAAGATACTACTGCTTCTTCGGGAAATCCGACACTCGACGACTTACCACTTATGGCGGCTCGATGTCGGCATAAGCACGAGAACCGATGAGCCATGGAGCCAGAGTAATGTATAGAATCAGATAATGTCCTTAGCAGATTGAGATTCATCAGCCAGAAATTTCTTTAGATAGATTAAAGAAAACCGTTTACAGTATTGGGGATGAGACATTCTAGTTGAATATAGACATGAACTTAGCAGTAGTTAGCATAGGCTAGTGGTTGCGTTGGCCATATTACCATAATACTACTCGCATCAGCCAGACAAATTTGATAGGTGTCGCTCTCGCGAAATTAATATTCGAAGCATGGGGGGAATGGAACTATTATCAGTCATGTAGAAATGTTGAATTCGTAGCTTTACCGCAGCGAAGCTCGAAGCTATAGTAATGCTGCATTCCGAGGCGAGTTGACATTCTCAACAAGTCAGCCTGTCAAATCCAGCGATATTTCTCGTTGGTGACGTTTACCATTCCTGTTCTGAAAGATGAGGGAGATACCATTATGGCAAAGCAAGAAATACACTCACTTCGCACCAGTCATTGCAGGCGATACAGCAATGCCCAACGTGTCTTGAGTTTACACACTACAGCAACTGACGTGGAGTGAGATCGTTTCGTCGACATGCTTGATGAAAATCACAGCATGTGCATCAATGCCGATCATTATTGACCTTGGAAGGGGTCGAAGCCTCAAAGGGCGTCTCCTGTCTTGTGTTCCAGCATGAAGTCGAAAACTGGTGAAGGAGTCACGATGATAATAGGGAATATGATAGCTTGGTACACATGGTGCACTTCCTGCAGAGATACTTTGAGGTTGCAAGACAACTCAGGCACGCTGTCAAAAGCCTAGATAAACTCAAGCCTAACATATAGTCCCTGACACTCGGCCAAAGTCTACACTTTCCAAAATTCACAGCTGAATATTCAAATGTTGTCTCCATACCTGATTCAACCGATCTTTGGAAGTGTGCCTGGAGATCCAAGAATGATAAGAGCTTGGGAATCGTGTCAGTGGCGCTTTGGTCCTCCGAGTGTCAGTGAACCCCCGTTTTCCCCCCTAGCATGCTAGCATGGGGGCTGGGCGCCTTTTTCCAAAACACGGCTCAAGGTTCGAGGATGCTCGTCAGCGACCCACCAGCGGCCACCAGTCTGACCAGAAAGAGCCTAGGGTAATGCGGGGCCCAGCCGCAATAAGATTAGCGCCGTTTCAAGATCAAGGTTTGAGCTCTTGAACAACGGAATGTGCTGGTGGGGCGATTGCAGAGGTCATTCTGATTGGCCATAGACACTGATTTATATTTATGTGTTCCTTGGAGAGCTCGTAGGGGATTGATTTTCTGAATTTAGTACTATGCATTATCGGCCTTTTTGATGTGAATCAATGTCTCATGAGTCCCTCAGACTCAGTGCTGTGCTTGTGATCATGTCCTGAACCACTTTAGCTGGTAGGGCATAGTCTACTGAAGAGCGTACTTTGCACCGCCAGCTTCTTCAAATATCTATTCTGTCCTCAATCCTCATGAGCGTTTAGGGGCGCTATCTGGGGAGGTAGACTATCTTACAGAGCTATTTGATTTGTTCCTGCTGTTATCTTGCCTTGGCGCGTTGTACAATGGTACCATTGTCAGGTCTATATACGGAGTACCTTTTGGTTAATGATCTCAATCTTCTTAGCTGCGCTGTTGTTGAACGTAGATGGTTCTAGTGGGAAACGAGATAATTTTAGGATTCACTCATTGTTTGGTTCCTTCAGATTGAAGACAAGTGCACCTATCTATGTCCTACGTAGTACCGCTGGGGCGCATTGCGGAGAACCCAGGTACCCGTCCTCGGTTGACGACACAAGCGCTCAAGGAGGTTTAATAGCATGGAGTGGTACCATGTCCAGTGGACTGCTGCTGCTACAATTTTCTACCTCCTGTTAAGTATCTAACGCGTCTGCCTTCTTCCTCTCGTTCTCTTTTTTCTTCCCCCTATCTTTTAGGTCTCCAATTAGAGTTGGAAGGTCCCCTGGATAGTACCTAGACAAGGAGCTGCTGGTCCAGCTTGGCAGCCTACTTGACTGCTTTTCATTCAAATACAGCCAAACTGTCAT